TGCGCCTGTGTATATTGCCATGAGTTAATGCACCACTCTCGAGATTATCATCACGGTATTACTGCTCGTGTACCACCAAGGTTGCTTACCATCCCTACCACCACCGCCAGCACCATCAGACATCTCTCTGCTTTCGCCATCTTCAATCTTGAAGCAGACCGTCCATCCGTCCAGGAGCTCAGAGAGATGCTGGCTTATCGGTTCAATCTAACGTCGTGGTCCCATCAAATAAAAAATGCGACAGGGCACAGCTTCATGATGTAGTTTCCATCGGACGCCCTACTTGCCCAAGCCATAGAGCTCGGCCTAGTAGACATGGGCACCTTTAGGGGAAGATTCTGCTGTTAGAGGGAAGATCACAGGTTAACAATGGTGCCCCAACATTTTCTTGTATGGATCCGTCTCTTCAATGTACCATACCACCTCTGGAATTATGAATTCCTGTGAACTCTCCTCGCTGGTATTGGTGAATGCATTATGTGCTCTAGGAACGTCATAAACAATACTAACTTCGAAGACTGCAAAGTGCTCCTCAAGGTTAGGGATTTATCTGACATCCCTAAGAGGCTTGGGTTCCGTTACACATCTCCAGTTGACGACAACATAAAGGAAGGCTACGCTATCACCCATGTCCAATGCAGGACGGGTTTGGAGAGGGCTCAGGGATCCACTCGCCTTAACTTAGGGCCACAGCCTGCGCAGCCTATTAATTATGAGCCAGAGTTGCAGGAGGTTAGCTGGGACGGTAGGCACATTACTGTGGATAGAGACCAATGGTTTCTCCAAAACCAAGGGATCGGCCCTTCTAATTTGGCGGTGGCTCTCCCCACCGTCAATTCTCCTCATCCAGGAAACCCTTCAGGTTCGCAAAGTGGATCATCAAAGTCCAGCTCTCCATCCTCCACGCGCGGAAAGCGTAAGAGAAATGATAGTGATAAAGTTTTATCAGATATCTTCCGCTCAAGTGAGGGAAGCAACAAATGAGGATCCAGCTTCTTTCTTCTCCGCCACACCGCATGAAGATAGTTTCTGTCAAATTTTGCTGTTGTAATGGAAGGAAACTATTCGTTGATAATTATAAATCGTTGTTAAAAATCATTGTAAGCTGGGACGGTAGTTATAAATCGTTGTTATAAATAAGGATATAGTCATGTTTTTATAAATCGTTGTTAATTATATTTGATAATAGTTATACCTAATGATATGTTATTTCTAGATGCTATCGTATTAGTTCTAGTAGCCCTCGAGTTAGTTCTAGCAGCTACAATTGTTAATTCTGGCTACAATGTTAGTTCTAACCGCTACTTGTTAATTCATGCTTCTACGTTAGTTCTACCTTCTATTACCCTAGTTCTAGCTTGTATACAGCCAGTTCTAGCCCACACATTGCTAGTTCTAAACCCAGCCCACGTTTTTTACCTAAACACTTGTTATTCTTACTTCTACGTTAGTTCTATCTTCTATTACCCTAGTTTTGGCTTGTAAACAGTCAGTTCTAGCCCACACCTTGCTAGTTCTAAACCCAGCCCGTGTTTTTTATATGCACACTTGTTATTTTTGCTTCTATGTTAGTTTTATCTTCTATTACGCTAGTTCTAGCTTATATACAGCCAGTTCTACTCCACACCTTGCTAGTTCTAAACCCAGCCGTCGTATTTTACCTGCACTCTTGTTATTTTTGCTTCTACGTTAGTTCTTGTTATTTTTGCTTCTATGTTAGTTCTAGCTTCTATTATCCTAGTTCTAGCTTATATACAACCAATTCTAGCCCACACATTGCTAGTTCTAAACCCAGCTCGTGTTTTTTGCTTGCGCACTTGTTATTTTTGCTTCTACCTTAGTTCTAGCTTCTATTACCCTAGTTCTAGCTTGTATACAACCAGTTCTAGCCCACACCTTGCTAGTTCTAAACCCAGCCCATGTTTTTTTACCTAAATACTTGTTAATTCATGCTTCTACGTTAGTTCTAGCTTCTATTACCCTAGTTCTAGCTTATATACAGCCAGTTCTAGTCCACACATTGCTAGTTCTAAATCCAGCCTTCGTATTTTACCTGCACACTTGTTATTTTTGGTTCTAAGTTAGTTCTAGCTTTTATTACACTAATTCTAGCTTGTATACAGCCAGTTCTAGCCCACATCTTGCTAGTTCTAAACTCAGCTCGTGTTTTTACATGAACACTTATTAAGTCCACCTTCTACGTTAGTTTTAGCTTCTATTACCCTAGTTCTAGCTTGTATACAGCCAGTTCTAGTCCACACCTTGCTAGTTCTAAATCCAACCAGTGTTTTTTTGCTTGTGCACTTGTTATTTTTGCTTCTACCTTAGTTCTAACTTCTATTACCCTAGTTCTAGCTTGTATACAGCCAGTTCTAGCCCACACCTTGCTAGTTCTAAACCCAGCCTTTATATTTTACCTGTACACTTGTTATTTTTGGTTCTACATTAGTTCTAGCTTATATTACCCTAATTCTAGCTTGTATACATCCAGTTCTAACCCACACCTTGCTAGTTCTAAACCCAGCCCGTGTTTTCTGCTTGCGCACTTGTTATTTTTACTTCTACCTTAGTTCTAGCTTATATTACCCTAGTTCTAACTTGTATACAGCCAGTTCTAGCCCACACCTTGCTAGTTCTAAATCCAGCCCGTGTTTTTACCTAAACACTTGTTAATTCATACTTCTACGTTAGTTCTAGCTTCTCTTACCCTAGTTCTAGCTTGTATACAGCCAGTTCTAGCTTACACCTTGCTAGTTCTAAACCCAGCCTTCGTATTTTACCTGCACACTTGTTATTTTTTGTTCTACGTTAGTTCTAGCTTCTATTACACTACTTCTAGCTTGTATACAGCCAGTTATAGCCCACACCTTGCTAGTTCTAAACCCAGTCCGTGTTTTTTACTTGCACACTTGTTAAGTCCAGCTTCTACGTTAGTTCTAACTTCTATTACCCTAGTTCTAGCTTGTATACAGCCAGTTCTAGCCCACACCTTGCTAGTTCTAAACCCAGCCCGCGTTTTTTTCTTGCGCACTTGTTATTTTTGCTTCTACCTTAGTTTTAGCTTCTATTACCCTAGTTCTAGCTTGTATACAGCCAGTTTTAGCCTACTCCTTGCTAGTTCTAAATCCAGCCCGCATTTTTTACCTAAACACTTGTTAATTCATGCTTCTACATTAGTTCTAGATTCTATTCCCCTAGTTCTAGCTTGTATACAGCCAGTTCTGGCCCACACCTTACTAGTTCTAAACCCAGCCCGTATTTTTTACATGCAAACTTGTTAATTCTAGCTTCTACGTTAGTTCTAGCTTCTATTAACCTAGTTCTAGCTTGTATACAGCCAGTTCTAGCACGCACCTTACTAGTTCTAAACACAACCGTCGTATTTTACCTACACACTTGTTATTTTTGCTTCTACGTTAGTTCTAGCTTCTATTACCCTAGTTCTAGCTTGTATACAGCCAGTTCTAGCTCACACCTTGCTAGTTCTAAACATAGTCGTCGTATTTTACATGCACACTTGTTATTTTTGCTTCTACGTTAGTTCTAGCTTCTATTGCCCTAGTTCTAACTTGTATACAGCCAGTTCTAGCCCACACCTTACTAGTTCTAAACCCATCCTTCATATTTTACCTGCACACTTATTATTTTTGGTTCTATGTTAGTTCTAGCTTCTATTACCCTAGTTCTAGCTTGTATATAGTCAGTTCTAGCCCACACCTTGCTAGTTCTAAACCCAATCCGCGTTTTTTACATGCACACTTGTTAAGTCCAGCTTCTACGTTTAGCTCTAGCTTCTATTATCCTAGTTCTACCTTGTATACCGCCAGTTCTAGCACACACCTTGCTAGTTCTAAACCCAGCCCTCGTTTTTTACTTGCACACTTGTTATTTTTGCTTCTACCTTAGTTCTAGCTTCTATTACCCTAGTTCTATCTTGTATACAGCAAGTTATAAACCACACCTTGCTAGTTCTAAACCCAGCCTTCATATTTTACCTGCGCACTTGTTATTCTTGCTTCTACATAAGTTCTAGCTTCTATTATCCTAGTTCTAGCTTGTATACAACCAGTTCTAGCCCACACATTGCTAGTTCTAAACCCAGCCCCGTTTTTTACATGCACACTTATTAATTCTAGCTTCTACGTTAGTTCTAGCTTCTATTACCCTAGTTCTAGCTTGTATACAGCCAATTCTAGCCATGTTATTTCTAGCTTAGTCAATGTTGGTTCTAGCTGCTGTGGTTTCAGTTCTAGATGCTGTCGTGTCTGTTCTATCTTAGCCATTATCAGATCTATTTGTTCTCACGTAGTTCTAATACTTACAACATTTTTGCTAGTGGAGATGATGTTAGTTCTCATCATACATGAGAATACTTTCAACATTAAACAAAACGTACTAGTTTGTAAATATACAAGCAAAACAGTTAACAACATATCAAGTACTTAGTCAGCAATAGGTTCATTACATGTTTTACGGTTATGACCTTCCACATGACAGCGAGAGCATTTAAGTGGCCGGGTGTAAACAATTATGTTGTTGATACGTCTGGTTTTATTTCTCCCTCTCCTTTTTGTTGTTAGTGGTGGTAGGATCTATATCTCACCCCGTGGCACGTTACACTTCTCGTAATCAGGGATGGGGTAGAGGATTGGCTCGTAGCTCTTTTTAAAAGCTTCAACCGTCATAAACCAGTCACAGAATTGGTAAACATCCCTCTTCATAAACATAATGGTTGCGCATGCATGTTTGCAAGGGATACGAGTTACATCCCACGCACGACATGTGCATGTTTTATTGTCAAGATCCACTTTACAAGTTCTATGTGATTGTACCTCAAATAATCCTGTATGGGACTGACGCACATCCAATGGACGCCCATTTTCCATGTTCTCTTTGAGGGCGAGATCAGCTTTGGGACAAAGAAATCCATTCCAACTTTCAGCCATTAATCGTCGCTCATTCATACGAACCATGATCTGTTTACGTATGTGCTCTACCAGTTAATGTATCCGTAGAAGCCTAGCCTCATGTATCCATTTGTTGAATGACTCTACAACATTCGATGTAACGTGACCATATCTGAAACATAACAGGGAATTAATCAAAACTACTGAGTTATTGTTAGTTCTAGTGTAATATTTTAATTCTCATTGATAGTTCTAGATGAGTTATTATAGTTCTAGCTTGCTTTAGTTATAGTGCAAGTATTGGTTTTAGCTTGTATACATTAATTCTGGCTTCTACCTTAGTTCTAACCGCTACTACACTAGTTCTAGCTTGTATACAGCCAGTTCTAGCCCACACCTTGCTAGCTCTAAACCCAGCCTTCGTATTTTACCTGCACACTTATTAATTTTGCTTCTACCTTAGTTCTAACTGCTACTACGCTAGTTCTAGCTTGTATACAGTCAGTTCTAGCCCACACCTTGCTAGTTCTAACTGAGTTTTATAGTTAGTTCCAGTGTACGCATTCATGTTTAATTTAATTAGGCAAACATCTTAACTAAAATAGCTTATAACTAACCTAATTTCGGGGAAAAACGTATTAGCCCAGTTCTCTGGAGCGTAGTTCATGATAATATTGTAGGCTCGTTCGTCCGCTTGTCTAATGTCGTCCACATAGTCATTCCATTCTACTTTAGTATATTTGTAACAAGCGGATTGCAAAAGATTCCTCAAAATCTGAGTATCCTTTGTCTTGAAACCCAAATCCCTCAACTTCGTCCTGAAATTCTCAACTAGATGCAAAACACATCTAGAGTGTATAGCATCTGGAAAATATTCTCTGATTGCTTCTCTGATCCCCTTATCCGCATCAGATATTATAACTAGCTTGTATGGAAGGTTGTATGGATCTGGCCTTTCGTAGAGAATAGACCATAAACCTATAATAGAGTTAACAATGAATGAGTTAGAACTAGCATGAACTGTAATATAACTAACATGACCCATGTCAGAACTAACCTTGTAAGAACCAGTTCCAGTTGACGTTATTTTCTTGATCGCAAATGCAATAGGCTAGTGGAAATATCCCCTGATTTCCATCATATGCCACGGCGCTGAGGAGTATACATTTGAATCGACCTTTCAAAAATGTACCATCCATAAATATTAGTGGTCTACAACCGTTCAAAAAACCATTTATGCAGACGACATAGCAGATGAATAGCTTTGAAAACCTCCCATCGTGTTGTTCAACATGAATGTAGCTACCTGAGTTTGTCTTCTTAACCTCTTCTACATACCTAGAACATTGAAGATTATGTGTTAGGATCAACATTTTTCAAATTAATATATACAGCCTAACATAAATGAAATTAGTGAAGTGTGTATATTGTAGATATTATCTTCTTTTTTACCATCGCAATTGATCGTAGGATTCATGAACATCACCATATAGTTGCTCTTGTGCCCTTTCTTTACCCCACCATATCTTACTATAATCGACCCTAAGCCCATACGAACTTAGAAACTCCTTTTGTACGTCGATAGGTCGTAAATCCGGTCGGACCTTTAACGCGGGTAGTACTTGGGTGGCAATGAATTGTCGAGAGGCCCTAGATTGACCTGCATTATTGCCATGATTCCCACAAACGTGTTTGTCCACGAAGGTTTTTATTTCAAGTCTGTTCTCATTTTGTGTTGGAGAGGCAAATAACATCCACGAGCAATTTTGGGATTTCTTGAACCGACAAACGACTCGAATACGCTTCGGTTCATTCTTGGTAAACAAGTACTCGAATTTTTTGGCCATGGAATAGTATAGCAAAACCAATCTTAATTCCTTCGCACTCTCAAAACGTTGTCCCTCACCGGTTAAAGCAGTGTGCCACCAAGCAGGAATTCTCTCAGTTCTGCTAATCATGTTATCAATCATCAGAACATTATCTCCGGAAGGATTGTCATTGGGAATCATATCTGAAACACATGTGGGCGTCCACAACGGCGGGCCACACTCTATACTTTTTGACTTCATACTGCTGGAAGCGCTGCGAATATAAAGAACATGAACAACGACTGTTTGTTTTAGAACTGTCATGGAATTCGATTGAACTAACAATATTTTAGTTAGAACTAACATGAAATCGTTTAGAACTAACATATTGGATCTAACACAAAATTTGAACTAGAACTAATAGTAAATCGATTAGAACTAACAATAAGTCGATTGGTTCTACCTTATTAATATATTATAGCTAACAATAAATCTATTAGAACTAACATGGTTAGTACATTCACGTAGAGCAAGAACTAGCATGAACCTCCTTTTAAATACAGAGCTGTAACTAGAATTCACAGCGGTTAGGACTGACATGAAATCGATTAGAGCTAACATACTCTCAAATTAGAGCTAAAATCCAATTACACCAAACATGGAACTAGCATGAACTAACATTAACTGATTTTACAATTAACATAAAATCCAATTACACCAAACATGGAACTAGCATGAACTAACATTAACTGATTTTACAATTAACATCGTGAATATTGGTCTTAGCATCAGCATGAACTAACATTAACTGATTTTACAATTAACATCGTGAATATTGGTCTTAGCATCAAAAAAAATCCTTGGCCCTACATGTCTTGTCGAACTTGCTCGTTGTTGTGTACTTTTGAAGAATCCTTTGTTTCTTTGAAAGCTTGCATGTGAACCTCCTTTAATCATATGTTATGGCAATGCTCCACCATAGACGACAAATCATCTTCGTTCTCAATGGGAAATTTGAAGCTTCCATTTGTTTCATCCATGTATGACAAACTTAATGAATCATATGGAAGATCTAACCTCTCTGACACATCAAATTTTAGATCCAGAACAGTGGTTGAAGAGTTAATCTTCATGAATACTGCTCTATCCCCTGAAGCGACAATGCAGATGATGTCCTTTTCAGCCATTATGAAGTGTAGGTAAGAGTAATGGATCGAACTTAGGACAAGGAGGAGTAATATAGAGAGAGTAATGGAGAGAATTTTCGTTTGAGGAAAGAGTAATGGATAACTAAATAGTTATTGCTCATGATAGAGGGAAAATGGGGAAAATTTTCCTTCATTTCTTACAACAGTTTGCATTTAATGAGATGTGACGAAGCGTCTGGGGACGAAGGAGAATGACAAATTCGGGTTTTTTTCAAAATACAATAGCTCTTTTGTATAGCGCTAACGTGGAGGGCCCTGGAAATATTAAACGCAGCTTTTTAGGGCTTATCCACATACGGGGAAATACAAGGGGCATCGTCACAAGAAGTCTCTGCTTTTGGGGACTCGACACATTTTTTTCGTAAAAAAAATCTTAAAATCATATTCCTCTTTCATATATACCTGGAATTGATAGCTTTCTGAAGACACAAAAACTGATATGTGTCATCTCAGTACATGACATGTGTTATACTAAAAAATAGCTATGTGTCCTTCTGTAAATTATTTTATAGAAAATTAGAAAACTTTCATGACACATCTTGAAAAAAAAATACAGTTGTTACATCTTGAAAATTCATGTTCTTCGTCCTTTAATTTTCTATAAATTATTTATTTTGTTCTATCTTTCTTTAAAAAAAATCTTATTTTTATCTTCTCTTTTTACCCAGAAATATAATAACATACAAGAAACATCGATCTAATTCCGTGCATCCCAAGGGTAACAACTAGTTAATTGCTATCAGGGATGTCCAAATTAATGATGTGGCGCAAAAAAGAGTACCACCTCTCCATCTTTAGTTTTAATGACAAAAAAAAAAAAAAAAAGAATCAATCTCTCTCGCAAAATCAATGGAGTCGCTTACGCTTCGGCAAATTTCTCTCTCATTTGCTACTCTCTGTCAATCTTAATCACCCAACAAACGAAAACCACGAGAATTCGTCAACCCCCCACAAAAAAATCTTCTCAGAATCTACTTCAATTAGCAACCATTGTCCTTTAAACCTACCCTTTTTCCCTCTTCTCTCTCTTTTGTGTTCCTCATTGCTGGCACAGGTATTAGCAATCTCCCAAGTTTCGGAAATTTTCCATTAGAATCATGGGTTCTTGAATTGTTGAGCTTTTATTGATGGGTTTATTCTTGATGTAATTTTGTCTGTAGAAATGCTGCACTATTATTGTTATTGTTGTTGTTGTTATTATTATTAGTTACTGTGCGCATTTTGATTGGTGGCTTCATCTCGATTTTGCAATTAGAAAATTTCACATGCTAAGTATAGCCCCACATTGGAAGAACTGGGAAAGCATTGCTTAAATTAAATAGATTAAGCTTTTGGTTTAAATTTGGTTTCAGCCTCTAATTAAGGCCCATTTAACCCAAAACATAGATTTTGCTTAGAAAATGTTTGGATTGCATGCCTTGTTTTCTGATGAATTCTTCTTTGTTTCACAATTGGGTGTAGATTCTGAATTTAAATGGCGGACAAATTTTCAAAAGAGACCTATTTCGATTTTTATTCCCAAAAAACGACCCTATTCAAACAAATTTACAAAAACCGACCTGGTTTCAGCTTCAGCGCTGAAACCAGGTCGGTTTTTGAAAAAAAATTTCCGAAACTTCACGGGAGTTGAACTCCCGTAAAGTTTAGTAGATCTGCTAAACTTCATGGGAGTTCAATTCCCGTGAAGTTTAGCAGATCTACTAAACTTCACGGGAGTTCAATTCCTGTGAAGTTTCGAATTTTTTTTTTTAAAACCGACCTGGTTTCAGCCCTGAGGCTGAAACCAGGTCGCCTGTGAAGTTTCGAATTTTTTTTTTTAAAACCGACCTGGTTTCAGCCCTGAGGCTGAAACCAGGTCGGTTTTTGTAAATTTGTTTGAATGTGGTCGTTTTTTGGGATTAAGTTCACAAATGGGTCTCTTTTGAAAACTTGTCCTTTAAATGGCAGACCTGTGTTGGGTGCATGCATTGTGATTGATGGGTTCTTCTTCATATTTAGTTCCATGACGACTTGGCGAGTATATAGATGGTTTTAGATGGGCTATAGAGATGGAGGTTCCCTCTAATCAATTTAAGGGCGAGTTCGCTGTAAGAGCTACCCTTATCCTTCATAGTTGCAATCACAAAAGTTTTCATCTATTACTAGTTCTAGTGCAAAGAAAGTTAAGTAGCATGGGCTTCATTATTACGGAAGCATGGTAATAGGATCCATTTAGCTCCTCATCGATTATATGGATGCTTTGATGTGGTTTTACGGATATTTGGTTCCCTCTAGCTTAGTTTTTACGGTCGAGTTCTCCTAAGTCTAACAGTTTTTAGGGGCGAGTTCTCCTAAGAATGCTGGAGTTGTATTGGGTTGTATTGTTTGTCTCCTGACCTTGAAATGTGTTCTGATGCATTTTTTGGATATAGGTTCCTTTCACCTCTGATTTAGTTTGGGATTGTTTTTCTTACAGTAATGGTGGGAAATAAACCCCGTGGTTCATAAATAAGAGATAAAAATATTGATTTAGTTCAAGCTTCTTATGTCATTTGTACTAGTTATCTGTAAGTTTGGGGTTGTTTTTCTTATAGTAATGGTGGGAAAATAAACCCCGTGGTTCATAAATAAGAGATAAAGATAAACCCCGTGGTTCATAAATAAGAAATAAACAAAAGCATTCTACTTACAAATACAAAAAATATATCGATTTAGTTCAAGCTTCTTATGTCATTTGCACTAGCTATCTCTAAGTTTCTTAAATCTTGAATTTATCGGCTAAATACTTATGTTCTTGATTATTTGGGTCCTAATGGCTTCTTTTACGACCATTTGGATTTTGATTCTCTAATATATGCAACTTTAGATCAATATAATATTGTTTGATAACTATTTTTACCAATTTATCTAGATCCTTTGTATTCGGTTTTTTTGGGTTAATTGTGGATACATTCCATGTTCAGTGGTGGTCTATCATTTATACCCCTTAAACTTTTCATTAGCATTTAAACCTCTCAATCTCAGACAACATTAGTTTTTTGCCTTCAGTTTAGAGGGCAATTTTGTCTTTTTAGTAAAAATGTAATTCATTATCATGTGATTTCACATTTTGTGAAATAATGTCGTCTGGAGTTTGGGGTTTGTTAATGGTATAAAATAGTTTACGGGATATTATTGACTTCGGTGTATTTGCAATTAATCTTTTTTTTGGCTACATTCCCTATCCTTTTATTTTCATTGGTATAAATTGATGTGATCTTCAGGTGCTTGGAGACGTGATCGTGCTGGTATCCTCCTTCATATGAGTTCTTAACTGTCTTTGTTATATAGGTCCAATTCGTACTCACAGTCAATAAGCGAAGTCATGGACCGAAAGTCAGGTAAAATAACTAGAGCTGAAGGAATTTCATTTACTTAATTTCGTGTTACTTGTAAGATCCTTTTAATACAAATCATTTGATAACAAGGACTTTTATTTTACAAACATTAGGCTGATTTTATTACAATAAGGACCAGAGATAAGTATTTTCTCAACGATAATAATTGGTTGCGTAGAAACTTATATTTCTCTCAAATATATGGCTTCCATCCTGGAATTGATGGCATGCATATCATGGTTCTGTACTAGCAAAAGAATAATAGGAATAGAAGTCGAAAGAATCTTCACAAAGATAGGAATATGCCCAAGCAACCGTCCTAATTCCCCTTTCATGTTTTCCCGCCAGAACTCTAGGTTGAGTCCTCTCCATCTAAAAGAGTGTCTTTATCAAGTCTTCACTATTTTAAACAAGTTCAAGCTGACACAAAGTATATAATAGAAAGAAGAATTTAAGGAAAGATTTAAAATCTAGAGCAGCACCATTATACTTGAGCAACAGTGCTCAAGTTTTTAATACTACAATGACTACCTAGATTCACTGAAAGTGCAAGACAAAGAGTCTATTGTTAGACTTTAAAATTATAAGCCTCACTAGAACTTTGGAGTTTTGCTGTGGTGGATGACACTTTTCAGTTCGAATACCACATGCCACGTATTTAAAGTGTTTTAGAAAAAAGATATTGTCATATGGTTCTAGGTTTGGGCACATAAAAGGGTGTTCAATTTCCAAAGATATGTTAGAGTATAAATTATAACCCTCAACTCTCACCACAACTTCAGAGTTTTGGTATAGTTGATTGAACTTTTAAGAACTATTACCCCGATAATGTTGAAAACTTTACATGTGATGGTGGCATTATTGTTTATAGGTACTGAAAGGCATGTTGAGAACTCGGAGGATGAGAGGAAGAATAAGTCGGGATCTCTAAAGAAGGTCTCATCTAAGTTGAGGAATTCTCTATCCAAAAGGGGCAGGAGAAGCAGTAAAGTCATGTCTGTTTGCATTGAGGACGTTCGTGATGCTGAGGAAATGCAAGCGGTTGATGCCTTCCGCCAAACTCTTATTCTCGAAGAGTTACTTCCCTCAAGACATGATGACTATCACACAATGCTAAGGTCTCTCTTTAATCTCACTTTCTGACAAAGTTTATGTTAAAAAGTGAAGTTTATTTATTTATCTACTAGGTGGAATGCATGTGCGTTGCACGTGGTCAAATAATTTGATTATTTCATTCGGTTTTATGTATTTTTTTAGGGAAATAGATTTTTGTCGTTATTATAACTCACTGGTGAATTAGTTCATGGTTACCATATAATTTATTGCATGAAATAAGATCATGTTTTTAAACCTCAACTCAACAATGATAACATGATGATAATATTTTGTAGACTAAAATCAAACTTGATAATGCATTGAATTTAGTTATACCTTACAAATTTATAATTTTGATCTAACAGACATATAAAAAATTCTAACTTATAATTTTTAAAATTTGATCTAACAGACATATCAAAGAACTTTTATGCTATATAGCAAATGCATAACGACTAATGCATAATGGCTAATGCGATGTGAAATCCATATTAAATTAATACTTAACAAAATTCACATGAGATAAACAAAGAAGATTAATTAGATGATCCAAAACATCAATTTAAAGACAATCAAAATTATATATCAATATGTTACTACTTATTAATGATAAAACTTATGTGATTTTCAATATGATAAAGAACTTCTAACATAAAAAACTTCCTATAAAACTACTATATCACACTCTTTATGCAAAATGACAATGACATTATTCAGGAAAAGCAACATTTACCCTAGAAAATATAAGGTATCAAAGCCTTGACCTCTCTAGAGAAGTTTTCAAAATTTGAGAGATACTATTTCCTTGTATTAAAAATCCTACAAGTCAATACAAAATAGTGTCCAAGGAAAAAGCAAGTGCATACACAGTTTATGCAGTGAGAGTAATCCCATAAGAATCTATGATTTCAAAGAGAAAACATATACATAATTTACCCAAAAAAACCTCTCATTGGAATTTTGTAGTATTTGTCGTTCTTTTTTCAAAGAGAATGAAATTTAGAGGTGTCTTGTTCAAAATTGTTCAAATGTCATGTGTCTTTTTGAAATTACATTAAGCTTGTTTTTGGATTCTAGGAATTGTTAGAATTTGAAATTTTGTAGTTGATTCCAATCTATTGTTTGGGAATCGTTAGAATTTCAATTATAGAATTTTCAACTTCAGAGCCATTTTGGTACTTTCAGATCTTAAGGTGATTGTTTGGTTTTTTTCTCCTTCTAGGAGCTTGTATGCAAGTTTCAATTTTTAGGGTGTTTGTATCTTTCTATTTTTTTAGAAGGCCATTTGTATTTTTTAATATTTTAAAGGGGTTTCTCCTAATTTTCAAACTTTTTGAGGGACTTTGCGATTCTAGATTGTGCAGGGGGCGAATAATTTTTTTTAGATTCTCAGAGTAATTTTTTTTCATTTTCAGAGTGTTTTCATAATATTTAAATTTTGACGTGCTTTTTATATTTTTAAAGACTTTTCGATGGTTGTTTGTAATTTTTAAATATTTAATGGTTGTTTGTAGTTTTAGATTTTTAGAGTGCTGATGAAAGATTTTAGATTTTCAAGGTGTTTTTTATTTTCTCTTTTTAGGGTGTTTTCTGCAACTTAAGGGTTTTAGATGTTTATTTGTAATTTTTAAAATTTTACGGTGTTGTATTAGTTACTTTATTCATGAAGTTGTTTAAAATTTTCTGATTTCTAAAGTGTTTGTTTGTATTTTTTGGATTTTTTGAGGTGTTTTTTTAACTTTTAGATTTCTCAAGGGAGTTGTTTGTATTTTTCAAATTTTTAGGGTGTTATCTGTAATTTCAATTTGATTGTTCAAGATTCCCAGATTTGTAGGGTGATTTTTTATAATTTTTGATGAGGAGATTGTTAGTCAATGAGTTTACCACATTATCGGTTGAAACAACTTTGATAAATGTCTATGTCTCCTCAGTTTACAATTTAACTTACCAAGTGATACCATCATTCGATGTGTTTTGATCTATGATGAGCCCTCGGCTCTCTAGATTGTGTATCGCAAAATGATGAAAGATTTGATTGTACGAATGACACCTAACTCTTATGTGAATTTTTTAATCCAAAATGCTTCTTTTGCTGCTTCACAAGCTATAATATATGTTGTTTCAATTGTAAAATCGACTGTAGTTTCTTGCTTACAACTCCTTGAAATAATTGCTCCATTATATATACAAAGACAACTCTGATGTAGATTTTCTATAGCTAGGATCCATTTGGAAATCAGAATAAATGTATTCTTGAACTTTTAAAGAATCATCACTAAACACTAAATGATAATGTTTTGTTCAGTTAAGATATTTAAGAATATGCTTGATTGCAGTCAATTGTTTCTTTTTCAAGATTGGATTGATATCTACTAACTCCACGTCTTTGAGCAATACCTAGCCTAGTACACAACATTGCATACATAGGACTACCAACAGTAGAAGCATATGAGTATTGTTTCATTCTTTCCAACTCCTTATCTGTTTGAGGTGATATTCTCTTAGAAAGGGCACCTCCGTGTTCAAAAGGAATAAGTCTTTTCTTTAAATTTTGCAAGTTAAACTTGGCCACTATCTTACCGACATAAGTGGACTGGGATAATGCTATTTACCTGTTATCTCTATCTTTATAGAGTTTAACTCCCACATTATATGGTGCCTCACCCAATTCTTTAATAGAGAATTTATCAGACAACCATAAACCAACAATTGATAATTTTCTAACATCATTTAGATTGTTCAGAAATATTTGATAAAAGTTTATTTTTTTGTTAGAAGTATTTGATAAAAGCTTTCATAGAGAATTTGTTATCAGCCACATTTTTTGTATTTTCAAGACTTTTTGGGGGTTGTTTGTAAAATTTGAATATTCGGTGTTAGTTTCATATTGTTCAAAGGGCTGATTGAAGATTTTAGATTTTCAGGGTGTTTTTTTAGTTTTTCACTTTTTCGGGGTGTTCTTAGCAACTCAAATTTGTAGACGTTTGTAAATTTTAAATTTTTAGGGTGTTGTATGTAATTGTAGATTGTTCATAGAACTATTCAAAATAATTTGTTTTCCAAATTTTTTTGTCATTTTTTAGATTTTTCGAGGTATATTATTATAATTTTTAGCTTTTTAAGAAAGTTATTTGTAATTTTCCATTTTCAAGGTTTTATCCATATTTCAAGTTTTTTAGGGGACTATTCAAAATTTTCATATTTTTCGGTTTTTTTTTATAATTTTTAGAATTTTTGGTGAGGAGGTTGTTAGTAATTTTCAAATTTGAGGGTTCTGCTTATAATTTCATATTGTTCAAACGACTGTTCAAAATTTTAGATTTTTAATATTTTAGATTTTTTGGGGTGTTTTTGTAACTTTTGGGTTTTTTATGTTTGTAATTTTTAGAATTTTCAAATGGTGATATGTAATTTGTAACTATATAGGGGGTTGTTTGCAATTTTTGGAAATCTAAGGATTTTTTTGAACGTTTTGATATCTATGGGAATGTTTCTAATTTTTTGATATAAGGATGATTTGTATAATTTTCAAAATTTTAAGAACATCGTTTATAAATTTTGGATTTTTAAGAATTTATTAAAGATATATTTTTTGATTTAGAATAGGATCAAAAGTAATGTCTTATAGATCTATTTAAAGGGTTTTATTAATTAGGATAGGATCATAATGTGATATTTAAAAAGATCATGGGTAATATTGTCTTGGGAATGTTTTTCCCAAACTCCCACTTTTAAAGGGAGTATGATTATTTGCATTATCTTTGTTATGTAATTTTCTAATTATAGAAGTATCTTGTTCTAACTGAAGCATACACTTTTGTCTGAACCAACTGTTAAACTAGTTTCTTTATCTAGAGTTCCAAATGAGCATTTGCAAATAAATTATCGAGAGTTGCTTTAGGATATTAAAATGGAAATAAATACCAGAATCCTAATTGGTGTGTATGTACAGGTATAGGAACGAACTTTTCTGTTTGTTAAACTTTAAACTATTTATTAGAATACTTTATTTTGGAAATGGATAGTGCTAACCCTACTATACCTTTGGTACTATTTGTTACTATAATAAGAAGGACAAGGCTGATTCTCTTAGCTCATCACCTTCGGTCTACACCTTTTGTCATCCACTTGAATACAAGTCATATCACAAAAAAAGGTACATCTAGCGTTTACCTTCGGAATTTTTACTAGTTTGGTTATTTTTGCTCACTGTCTTGAAGGGTATATGAAATATTTTACTTAAAAAAATTTGCACTTTTGATTTCCTTATGCTGGTGGATAATAGAAAAACTTTATTTCAATATTGAAAATAAATATCCACATTAAAGTAATCATAAATGTATGTGCTCAAACATCAAGTTAAGTTCTTCTATCATGCAGATTTTTGAAGGCCAGGAAATTTGACATTGAGAAAGCAAAGCAAATGTGGTCTGATATGCTCCAATGGAGGAAGGAATTTGGTGCTGACGCTATCTTGGAGGTAATGCGCACCTCTGGTTAGTCATTCGATAACAAAGATCACAATAGGAAGCTGCTTACGTTTGCTAGAAATGCATATGTACACCATCATTAGTGAAAATGTACGGAGAAAGCATCTCTATTTGAAAGGACAAGTTACATAAATATGAAGTGGTAATTTCCTTTTTTCCTTTTTCTCTGAGAATTATGTGAAGCGTGAACCTCTGATTCATTTCCCTAGGATTGGAGTCCTTGCCTCCTCTCCTACATATTCAACCCTTAACGTTATCAAACACCTCTTAGCTTGATCATAAAAGGGGTAAACTGCAAAAACCCATCTTGTACCATTAAGCTCATAGAAAACTCTCCTGTTCTATTAAATGAATTAATTTTTTTTTGTGCTATGAATTCAAAATAGCAATTATTATCTCAAGATTTGACCGCTGATTCTACTGTCTAATACAATTCAGCAGACAAAGCCTTTCTTGCACTATGTTATGTTTGGATAAATCCTCTAATATCAAAGATCGTAGTTACTTTTTTCTATTGTATTCAATAGAACTGTGGATTTTCTATAGCACAGAGGTTGTCTGCAATTTAGCTTAGAAATAATTGATAATTTTTCCATATAAAAACCTTTCATGTACCATACAGTATCCATTTTCTTCTGACCTATTTGCTCCTTTAACACTTGACTCTTTTTCTCAAAATTTGTTCTTTAACACATTACTAACTGATTCAGTGATATGTTTGAATTTTTTTAATAGTTGAGTTGTTTCTTTCCTTCATTCTCCAGGAATATGATTTCAAGGAGCTTGATCAAGTCTTAGAGATCTACCCACAATGCTACCACGGGGTTGATAAGGAAGGAAGGCCTGTTTACTTTGAAAAGCTTGGACAAATCGACTCCAACAAAATGTTGCAAGTTACAACCTTAGATCGCTATCTGAAATACCATGTGAGAGAGTTTGAGAGGTGCTTCGCTGAGAAGTTCCCAGCCTGCTCTTATGCAGCAAAGAAACACATTGATCAAAGCACAAGTATTCTTGATGTGGCTGGAGTGGTATGTGATGGTTTGATACATTTCTATACCATCAAAAAATTGTCTTTATCCTTCTATTAGATCAACAAATGCATTAAATTACTAAGAAATTAGCAACTCTTCATAACCTATGGAAATTCATTGTTATCTCCCAGAAGACTGTGGTAAGATGAAATATGAATAACATCCTTTTACCAACTTTTTAACTGAGCGGCCTTGTTGGTTTGTGCATAAATGCATATATTTGTTCATACTATATAGAGTAAATTATAGAAAATCCCCTAAGGTTTGCATGATTATATTTGTTGATAAATGTGGCCTTTACGTGAAACACATGTTCTTTCATGCTTTATTATGTATCTTGAAAAACTATGTGTGGTGTGTGCCTAGCTTCACTCGGGCACGCGCAATCGCATTGTGTTTTGCCTCATGTGCGCGTAAAGGGACTTTTCGCCCTGCATTGCGCATTGATAACACTGTATATGATTATTTTTATTAAAAATTAATTATTACATCCAAAACATGCTAACTATTGACCACGAATTGGAAATGGGGTGATTTTTTTTGTTTGGGGGGGGGGGGGGGGGGGGGTTGAAAAACTATGTGTGGTGTGTGCCTAGCTTCACTCGGGCACGCGCAATCGCATTGTGTTTTGCCTCATGTGCGCGTAAAGGGACTTTTCGCCCTGCATTGCGCATTGATAACACTGTATATGATTATTTTTATTAAAAATTAATTATTACATCCAAAACATGCTAACTATTGACCACGAATTGGAAATGGGGTGAGTTTTTTTGTTTTGGGGGGGGGGGGTGGTGTGTGTGTGAAAGTGTTACTTTTAAAAACTCGTGGATTTTTCTCCTTCCTGCAAACCATAGCGGGATATTCTGTAATTTAACCCAACTTATAGAAATTTATTTTTCCTCTATGCAGAAATCTGTGTTACATAATTTTGTTATATCATGTATGCAGTGATGTATGTCGTGTGGTTAACATTTGGATATGAATATGTAAAACTGGATATTTAAGGCACTCCTTGCTATGTTATCAGGGGTACAAACAATTTAACAAGGCAGCAAGAGACCTCATTGGTCGCATTCAGAAGGTCGATGGTGATAATTATCCTGAGGTACTTATCTAATCAATTATATTCCAGATTAGCATGTCAGAAATTATGAAGCCCTATGACGACTCTGGAAAGTTACTGTTAACCGCAGACTATGTGCCGAATGTTTATCATCAATGCTGGTCAGGGATTCAGACTTTTGTGGAACACTGTCAAGGGCTTCCTTGACCCAAAAACTACTGCAAAGATCCATGTAAGATTAACTCACTAATTGCACCCTAAGATAAGTATACTTGTCAAAATTATCACATAACATGTAATAATTATGCCCGTCAGGTACTAGGGAACAAGTACCAGAGCAATCTGCTTGAAGTAATTGATGCCAGGTTAGGTTTCAATAAACTACATTTATTGCAATAGTTGTGATCAAATGAAACATCTTCCCGCTTAATGATTGAATTATGTGATTATATTATCTTGCATTACAGCATCATATTTTGGTCTTGGTATTTTACAGTGAATTGCCAGAGTTTCTTGGTGGGAAATGCAAATGTGCAGGTGAAGGAGGATGTCTTCGCTCAGAGAAAGGCCCGTGGAAGGATGCTGAGATAATGAGGGTGCTTATTTTATTTTATTTTTTCCTTAATACCTTTTCGTATGGTGATATCGGAAATTAAGAAATTATAGAAACTATAAAGTGAAAGCACGTCTTTCTTGATGGGGGTGGATAATACTTTCACTATACTTTTTTATTTAATTTCCCAGAAAATCAACTTACTTGAGAAATCAGTCAAGAAAAACACAGTGATTTTATGCTAGCAAATTTTGACATTTCTGGTTTGCTGGTTAAAAGAACAGAATATGCACCTTCTCAATCTCATTTATAAAAAAATGGAATTTTCTTCTAACAAAAGAAATGGAAACTTGGACTGCTAAATAACTTTCCTGATGATGTATTTCTATATTCAGATGATTCAAAACGACAAAAACGGGAGGTTGAATTCCAGTCCTTTAGCTGCTGACGAGAAAACAATCTCTGAGGATGAGATAGTGTATCCAATGGTGCTAGCCGTCAACCTGCTTTTCTTCTGTGATTTTATTCCTTTTTGTTATTTTGTTACTAGCCAGTGTTTTATGTCGCTAATGAATAGCTTTTTCTTTATGCGAAGAAGAAAGAGTCCTTCCGTGGAGAGAAAGATTCTCACTCTCCTAACCCTCGAAATCTTATAGAGCATCCACAACTATCTCCTGTTCCTGAAGAATTTCACAGTTCCAATTTCCAGGTAATTTTAGAGTTAATTGTAAGTTTGTAACACATACACTAGAAAAATGAGAATAAAAATTCTCCTTGAAAATTGTGTAAACAACTTCATATTGCATTGTGTGTTGGGTTATGCCTCCTTGGCTAAAATTCAGATGTAAAGTTAGAAAACCATATAACTATAAGTTTAGAACTAGTTTTAAACTAGTAAGTTTTGGATGACATTTTTAGTGAAATATTGAAAGTTTTGTTACTACAACTTGTCATACTAATTGTGTAAAGAAGCAGCACCTTCCAACAGATACCTACAAAAGGGATAGGAAGGAGGAAAGATGCCTCTGGTATTCTCTATTAATTATGTAAAAAAGATTGGTCTTTTCTATTAAAGATGATTTAGCATTTGATTATTTTGGTTACCACAAGTATACAAGGTATTTGTTTATATGATTGAATGCATTGCGGACATATCTTTCTTTTTTCCTTGTAAAATTTCAGGAGCAGTCCATTCAAGGAAATTTCCCTACTCCTGACAATGATATCCCCATGGTTGATAAGGTTGTGGACGCGAGCTATAACAAAGAAGCATCCAGTGGAAAATCTGCCATTGCCAGAGGTAACCACTGCCTGTGCTGTTTTCCTTCCTTTCTCATTATCAGATGCTTGTGTAATATTAGAATAATATGTAACATAACTATTAAATCCAAGTTGTAAATAGGGCTGCAAATCAAGTTGCATCTTAAACATGAGAAGGTTGGAATTCTTCTCAAACACACAGTTTGTTCAGAGTTGGGGATGCCATGGATATGACTTAATACGTTTTTTTTATCGTCTGCTCTTTTTCGAATTTTCATCCTTGAACAAATTTGACAACCTTCAATGACAGCCTCCCTCCTTTTGCGTTTGTGCAAATAGAGAGATGAAATTAAATGAGAGAGAGCAAAGTAAACACACAAACAAAAGATAAGAATATATATACACCAAGACTTGCATGATGATCTTGACTAGGTTACGTTCACAGGTGAAAGCGGTAGAATTTCCAATACCAGAACACTCACTAACATACTAGAGTTTGCCAAACGTACTGCTCTTCATTAATTTCCTTAGAGCCTATAGATATTTATGGGGGAAAAACCACTAATCAAATCTTGACAATAAAAATGCTGCAGTAGGTTTGGCTTGAAACACAACATGGAATCTTCTTGATCTGCTATATCTAGATCTGAATGCAAGCATAACAGATACCTCCTTGTGTCCCTACGAATTACATCAAGGATGTTTGTAGAATAAATGGGAGGAATAAGTGTAAGGAGTCCGGAATTTATAATTTCATAAAGACAAGGCAAAAGTTTGGTGCCACATCTGTAGGCAAAGCCTTGGGTCGATATGATGTCTATTCATTACCTGTGATTTATAGTAGGGTCCAATTACACGAGACTCCCTTTATCCTGTACCTTGTTTTTCAAGAAACCCTCTCATCTCAAAAGTTCCACAAATCCCCTCATCTATGACCGTTATGAAATCATTAATTTTATAAATGAGTTTTGATCTTCAAATGTCTACATAGACATCTGCACTTGAGTTAATGACTGGAAAGACTTCTGTACTTCAAAATGCACATATTTTGAGAGTTGAATGAAGAAAATAGAGAAAATGTTAGTTCTCAGATAAAGTTAAAAAGAAATCTAACTATTTTATCATTAACCCAGAATTCTGTATGTAGACATTTTCTCAGACATCTGCGAACCAAACTCCATTACGAAATTAATTCATTAATGATTGTATATGAGGTGTTTTTTTCAATGAACTTTATAGACGAGGGGGGTTTCATGAAAAACAGAGTATAGATGGAGGGGGTCTCTTGTAATGTGCCATTTATTAAATATCAAATATTAGTTTATCGTGTGCTTAAGTGTTCTGTAGTGTTTGACATGATGTAGAATATTAACATATTCCACAGTTAAATTGAATCTCCGTTTTTGTTTCCGGTACCAGAGTCTCAAGGTGCGTATACTCTGCCTGATACTTGAAAATCTCGAGGACTTAGTCTGGAGTCATGGCCATTGTCTTGGGGTTTCTGATTATGAGCAAAGTGACTTGTGCAGTGCCTGAGAAGGTCGTTGATGCCGCGATGGACCAAAAGATGCCTATATTCATGCAGCAGCAGCTACCAGTGACTGTGCCTTCTGTTTCCATGGCTGAATTCTCCGCCGTCACTAAGCGTCTTGGAGAATTAGAGGCGAAGCTGAATATGATGAGCTCGAAGCCACCTGAGATGCCCTTTGAGAAGGACCAGATGTTGAATGCTGCAACGAGTCGAGTGGATAAATTAGAGACGGAGCTTCAGGCAACAAAAAAGGTACTTATTGTAGCAATTACTTCATTTCTTTATATATTATGGATGGGAATCATTGTTTTGAAAATGATGCACAAGATAACTATAGTTTGATGGATTTTTAGTTATTATTATTATTATTATTTGATACTCTTAATCCTTCCTCTACCCCAAAACTATAAAGTTATGATGATGGTTGAGGATTATAATTTCGTGCTTTAAAGTTGGGGAAATTTCACAACCCCCACCCCAAAAGTTTGGCCTTTTTGAGAAAACCCCCTAATCTTTAGAAATATTGCTTAACCCCTTTAAGGCTTGTCTGATCACCTCCTAACTAACACCGTTAAAATGTGAGTGTGCATGTGAAAATTACTTAACCCTCTTAAGTTTCAATGGGGGTTACTCTATAAGATGGTTATTCTGCCCAGCTATTTTGATGATGGAATTAAACATTGAAGGGTTCTGTTTCCAATAATCTTTGAAGTGTTCGCAACAGGAAAGTGTGATGAACATATTTTGCTTGACTCACAACATTCATAAGGGGAACACACAAATGTGTTTTTTTGGTTCTTGTCCTGAAGGACATAAGTGAATTGGTTATGAGGTAATGAAAACTAAAGGACAGAAGTCTTTCATATTTGTCCTTTTACATGTGAATTTTCTATATTAGTATGATTGTCTTTCAATTCTTTATTAACCGACATTGTTTTTTGTTAAACACTTATCATGATAAGTGAGTGTGTGGATATACCTTTGTTGGAATTGGGGGTGGAAACCAACCTCCGCCGGCGACGAGGAGCTCCGACGAGCTCGGAGATGACGCTGGCGAAATCGACGGCGAACCCCCAGGCGAGCTCGAGCCCCGCAGTCCACGAACGCAACCTCTCGATGAACGCGACCTTCGACGAACGCAACATTCGACGAACGCAACCCCCCGACGAACGCAACCCTCGACGAACGCAACCCCTTCGACGAACGCGACCATCGCGTTTTTGGCACCGAACCGCTGGCGACAGGCTGTCGCCAGCCTGTCAACTTCTCCTATAAAAGAAACCCGATGCCCTAGGGTTTTTTTTCTTTCGGTGTGGTGGCCGAAGCCTTTTTTCCCCCTTTCGATTTTCTTCTGGTGGCGGCGGAAAACCCCAAACGCAGCAGCGTTCTTTCTCCTAAAATCGCAGCAGCGATTTTCATTTAATTCCCAGGCTTCAACAGTGGTTGAGAGGGATTTAAGAAGAGAGAGTAAAGAGAAGAGAGGACTTTATTGTGGGTATTAACACTGTAGCTACAGTGTTTATTTGAGGAATCTCAGTTTAGAGATTTGCTCGTGATTTGTAATTTCTTGTTTGACTAATAAGAAATTATCTGTGTGGCTCCCGAGGACGTAGGCAGTTGTCGAACCTCGTTAAAACTTGGTGTACTTTTTCTATTCTGCGTTTTTTCGTTGCATTAGGGATTTTAGACGTTAAATTCCCAACAACTGGTGTCAGAGCGTGAAACGATCTAGAGAAAGTCAGATTCAAGTGGGAGCCATGGCCGCAGATGAAGGGAAAATAAGACTTGAGAAATTTGATGGAACAGATTTTGGATTCTGAAAAATGCAGATAGAGGATTATCTGTATCAGAAAAATCTGTATCAACCACTATCGGGGAAGAAGCCGGATTCTATGAAGGAAGAAGAGTGGAACCTTCTAGATAGACAAGCCCTCGGAGTTATCAGATTGACGTTGACTCGCAATGTTGCGTTCAACATAGCGAGCCGCGAACAAAGTTCATTTGATGCGACGGTTATTCAATCTGAAAATGGCGGAAGGCGCGTCAGTAGCACAACACCTCAATGAACTTAATACGGTTACAACCCAATTGAGTTCAGTTGAGATTGAGTTTGATGATGAAGTTCGGGCGTTGATACTTTTATCTTCCCTACCAGAGAGTTGGAACGCTACAGGCACAGCTGTGAGTAGCTCGTCGGGAAACAAAAAGTTGAAGTTCGGCGACGTTCGTGATTTGGTTCTCAGCAAAGAGATCCGACGGAGAGAGACGGGTGAAGCTACAACCTCTTCAGTATTGCATACAGAGTCAAGAGGTAGAAATTCAACCAGAGGAAACGGACGAGGAAAATCAAACTTTAGAGGTAGATCAAAGGACAGGAGGTCCAAGTCAAGGAATCCAAGCAACAGCTCGAAGGCTATCGAGTGTTGGAATTGTGGAAAGACCGGGCATTACAAGAATCAGTGCAAGAGTGCACAGAAAGAGAAGGAGGCGAAGGCAGAGGTGAATGTCACCTCCACTTCAGGAGGAGACGACGCATTGATATGCTCTTTGGAGAGCAAGGAGGAATCTTGGGTGTTAGATTCAGGAGCGTCGTTCCATGCTACCTCTCAGAAAGAATTCTTTGAGAAGTATACCCCCGGAAATCTTGGATACGTATATCTTGGTGATGATCAACCATGTGTTATTGTGGGCAAAGGCGTTGTGAAAATTAAGTTGAACGGGTCAGTATGGGAGCTGAAGGATGTCAGGCATATTCCCGACCTGAGAAAGAATTTAATATCCGTAGGCCAGTTGGCTGGCGAAGGATATACCACGACCTTCCACGGAGATGATTGGAAGATCTCAAAGGGCGCAATGACGATTGCCCGAGATAGGAAGACTGGTACCTTATATATGACAGCAGGTGCACGTTCGATCTCAGTTGCAGCAGGCAATGAGACTTCAAAGCTGTGGCACCAGAGACTCGGTCATATGAGTGAAAAGGGGATGAAAATCATGCACACAAAGGGAAACCTCCCAGGACTGCAGTCAGTGGAGATGGATATGTGTGAAGAATGTATACTTGGAAAGCAGAAGAGAGTCAGCTTTCAGACAAGTGGCAGAACCCCCAGGAAGCAGAAGCTAGAGCTCGTTCACTCAGATGTTTGGGGACCAACCACCACTGCGTCGATTGGTGGGAAACACTACTTCGTGACTTTTATCGATGATCACTCTCGGAAAGTGTGGGTCTACTTTCTGAAGCATAAGTCAGAAGTATTTGAGGCTTTCAGGAGATGGAAAGCTATGGTCGAGAATGAGACCGGTCTGAGAATAAAGAAGCTCAGGACCGACAATGGCGGTGAGTATGAAGACACCGGATTCAAGAAGTTCTGCTATGAGCACGGGATCAGAATGGAGAGAACCGTGCCCGGCACGCCTCAGCAAAATGGTGTAGCTGAGCGGATGAACCGAACGTTGACAGAGAGAGCCAGAAGCATTCGAGTACAATCAGGCCTACCGAAGCAGTTCTGGGCAGAAGCGGTCAACACAGCAGCTTACTTGATCAACCGAGGTCCATCGGTTCCATTGGAGCACAGAATACCAGAGGAGGTATGGTACGGAAAGGAGGTAAAACTCTCACATCTTAAAGTTTTCGGTTGTGTAGCTTACGTGCATATTAGTGATCAAGGCAGGAATAAGCTTGATCCCAAGTCAAAGAAATGCACTTTCATCGGCTATGGTGAAGATGAGTTCGGCTACCGCATTTGGGACAACGAAAACAAGAAGGTGATCCGGAGCAGAGATGTGATATTCAACGAGAAGGTGATGTACAAGGACATGCACAAGACTGACGACTCAGAGAGCGAGTCCACATTTATAGATGCAGATGATGTCCCGAGTAACCTCTCGGAAGAACCCAATGCAGAGGGTCCTCAGCAAGAAGAGCCTGTTGGACAAGATGGTGCACAGGAACCCGACGCACCAGCTCCGATATTAAGAAGATCTTCTCGACCTCCTGTACCCAACAAGAGATACATGAACTATCTGTTGTTGACAGATGGTGGGGAGCCTGAAAGCTTTAATGAAGCTTGTCAGTGTGGAGATGCGAGCAAGTAGGAGCTTGCAATGAAAGATGAGATGAAGTCTCTCATATCAAACCAGACGTGGGAACTAGCTGAGTTGCCCACGGGTAAGAAGGCACTCCATAACAAATGGGTGTACCGGGTGAAAGAGGAGCAGAATGGTTCCAGAAGATATAAAGCCCGGCTAGTTGTCAAAGATTTCCACCAGAAGGAAGGAATTGACTACACCGATATTTTCGTTCCTGTGGTGAAGCTAAATACTATCAGGACCGTGATGAGTATTGTAGCAATTGAAGATCTTCATCTCGAGCAGTTAGACGTGAAGACGGCGTTTCTTCACGGAGATCTAGAAGAGGAGATATACAGGCACCAGCCAGAAGGTTTCTCAGAAGAAAAGAAGAAAAAGAACCTGGTGTGCAGACTCAAGAAGAGCTTGTATGGCCTGAAACAAGCCCCAAGACAGTGGTACAAGAAGTTTGACGGCTTCATGCACAAGGAAGGTTTCCAGAAGTGCAACGCCGACCACTGTTGCTACTTCAAAAGATATCAGTCCAGCTATATCATCCTACTGCTGTATGTTGATGATATGTTGGTTGCAGGAGCAGATATAGAGGATATCAAGAGTTTGAAGCAGCAGCTGTCAAAGGAGTTTGACATGAAGGACTTGGGTCCAGCGAAAAAGATCATTGGAATGCAAATCACGAGAGATAAGAAGAACAGTCTCTTGCAGTTATCTCAGACGGAGTACATCAACCGTGTTTTGCAGAGATTCAACATGGGCGACGCCAAGCCTGTGAGCACACCCTTGGCCATCCATTTTCGTCTATCGAATGATCAGTCTCCTCAGTCAGAAGAAGAGTTTGATGTACGCAATGGTCTGTACGAGACCAGATATTGGCCATGCAGTGGGAGTGGTCAGCCGGTTTATGTCGAATCCAGGAAAAACTCATTGGGAAGCGGTCAAGTGGATTCTGAGATATCTACGAGGAATCACACAGAAGTGTTTGCACTTTGGTAAGGGAGAGGTAGAAGTGCAAGGGTACGTAGATGCAGACTTCGGCGGCGAAGTTGATCACCGAAGAAGCACCACCGGCTATGTATTCACCGTTGGAACTACAGCTGTTAGTTGGATGTCACAGGTACAGAAGATCGTTACCCTATCCACTACAGAAGCTGAGTATGTTGCAGTGACTGAAGCCAGTAAAGAGGTGATATGGCTTCAGCGTTTGTTGACAGAGCTGGGATTCAAACAGGAGAAGAATGTTTTGCACAGTGATAGTCAGAGTACGATACACTTGGCGAAGAATTCAGCATTTCATTCTAGAACAAAGCATATTGCACTTCGGTACCACTTCATCAGATCCCTGTTGGAAGATGACGTGTTGAAACTGGAAAAGATTCCAGGAAGTAAGAATCCAGCAGACATGTTAACAAAGACGGTGACAGTTCAGAAACTGGAGTTGTGCTCAACTTCAGTTGGCCTTCATGCATAGATGATGAGGGCGGAGCCACACAGGAGAGGAGCTTAATGAGATAGCCCGTTGGCGTCGGTTTGGTCTCCAAGTGGGAGATTGTTAGAATTGGGGGTGGAAACCAACCTCCGCCGGCGACGAGGAGCTCCGACGAGCTCGGAGATGACGCTGGCGAAATCGACGGCGAACCCCCAGGCGAGCTCGAGCCCCGCAGTCCACGAACGCAACCCCTCGATGAACGCGACCTTCGACGAACGCAACATTCGACGAACGCAACCCCCCGACGAACGCAACCCTCGACGAACGCAACCCCTTCGACGAACGCGACCATCGCGTTTTTGGCACCGAACCGCTGGCGACAGGCTGTCGCCAGCCTGTCAACTTCTCCTATAAAAGAAACCCGATGCCCTAGGGTTTTTTTTTCTTTCGGTGTGGTGGCCGAAGCCTTTTTTCCCCCTTTCGATTTTCTTCTGGTGGCGGCGGAAAACCCCAAACGCAGCAGCGTTCTTTCTCCTAAAATCGCAGCAGCGATTTTCATTTAATTCCCAGGCTTCAACAGTGGTTGAGAGGGATTTAAGAAGAGAGAGAAAAGAGAAGAGGGGACTTTATTGTGGGTATTAACACTGTAGCTACAGTGTTTATTTGAGGAATCTCAGTTTAGAGATTTGCTCGTGATTTGTAATTTCTTGTTTGACTAATAAGAAATTATCTGTGTGGCTCCCGAGGACGTAGGCAGTTGCCGAACCTCGTTAAAACTTGGTGTACTTTTTCTATTCTGCGTTTTTTCGTTGCATTAGGGATTTTAGACGTTAAATTCCCAACAACCTTCTGGTAAGATGTTTTTCATTTCTTTATATTTAAAAGATACTCCAGTGAAGGTATTTATTTGAGTTTTGCTTTTTCCTTATGTATCATTGTTTCAGTTGAACTTATCCAAATTCATAGTAAAAAGATCTGGGTTCAAGTCAGTCTGAGTTGTTGGTTTATTTCGTTAAAGCTTTCCTACGTTTCCGTTCTTTAACAGGCTCTCGAGGATTCTTTAAAACGCCAAGAGGAACTTCTTGCTTATGTTGAGAAGAAGAAGAAAAAGAAGGTAAACCAAACTTGACCTCTAAATATTGAGTGGGTAGCATATAATGTTATGTATGACGCCCTTCTGTCATTGGTATATTTTCACCTCAATTTCTTTAGACTTCAAAGTTAAAGTCAATAGCATAAATTAATAGCATATAATGTTAATATATAAAGATATCTTGCAAGGTTATCAGATCATGGATATTTTTTCTAAATTTAATATGTAGAAGGTTTAGGAAATAATTGTAACCATGCCTTTTTCTGTTTTTCCTTGAATAGGGATTTTTTGCTTGGTCATCTGCCTCCTCTAAATCTGCTGCTTAGTCCTGATTGGTTGAAGGCAAGCATATCTGACTTTTAAGGAATTATTTCTAGATCTTACGGAAATTAGTGTAAGTTTATATGCCAAAGGCAACCATTTGTGTAGATGGATGATGGGAAATCTACAAAGACAATTGACCTCTTGGAGCTTTGTTGGAATATGCTAGTTTATATCAGATAAGATCAAAATCTTAAAAAAGAAGAAGATAAGATCAATATCTTATTGTTGACTTCTGAACTGTTTAGATCTATTCATAAGTCATTGCGTATTATTTGTCCACATCGGAATTATTTGCTAATATTGGTTTTCAAGAGGTTTAGCATATATATTGAACACGACTTGAGCTAGGCTACTATTTGTAGTATCTAAGATATGGATGCTATTGATTTAAATTTAAAAGTTGGATTCCAAATTGAAAATCCATATTGTTGGAATGCAATACACATAAACTACTTAGAAACAAAATTTCCTATGATTTTGATGTGTTTTCATTTATGTTTTAAGTGCTAAAATAATTATATTACTTTGTGTTTTTGAAACATTGATTTTGACATAACAAAATACATGTTTAAAACAAGTTGAAATCATCTGAACTTTTATTTCTTAGTAGTTTGATTTGTAGTATCACATCCAAACATACGGATTTTCAATTTAGAAATCTAAAATTTAAAATTGTATATATTAGTAACTGTATTTTGGATACTGTTTTTAGTAGAGCAGCTCAACTCTATTAAACGCTTCATACAGTACTATATGTAGAAGTCTTTCAAAAGGTTTCTTGTATTTGTTTCACTCTGATATGTTCAACTTTTTATTTTCTTCATAATATATCATTTCCTTTTGCATTGCAGATCCTATTTTGCTGGTAGATGTATATGGCAATGGAAGCTACAGAGCTGTTACTCTGAGGAATGATTATACTCATTTATAGTTTGTGAGTTCAAAAAACAAATCCAAGGTTCGGGATAATAAAATGAAAAAAAGTTAATATATTTAAATCATGATCTTTTTGAGATTGATGATCTCAAGTAAACTTTGATCTCTATGAAATTTTTTTTATATATCTACCTTTGCCTGTTGAGGCTTATTTTCAGAAAGTTCTCATGAGTGAGGGTGGAGTGTGTGTTTTTGTATGTGCACATGCGTGCGTGTGCGTGTGCATATGTGTGGAGATTGGATTGAGTTGCCACCTCATTTAGCAAAACAAACTATTAAAAAGATAGAAATGGTGAGGTCCACCTGCTCCGATATTACTAGCTGGATGACCTCGCCCTTGTTTGATTTCTTGGCAACTCATTTAGAAAAATAAGTTTAACTCAAAAACTTATTCTTAGCAACTCATTTTGTTAAATGAACTATCTAGAGATGGAATAATGGTGAAGCGCACCCTGGAAGTCACACTGGATGGATGAATCTCACCATCATTCATCTCTTGGTGGTTCATATAGCAAATGAGGTGGCAATTCATAAATAGTAAACTCGATAAATAGGTCTATGCGTGTATCCCTAAGTGTGTATATATTTGCGTGGGTGTGCGTGTATTTGTGTGTGCACGTGTATACATATGAGTTTTTTATAACTAGTTCAAAATAAGCTATCATCTCAATACCCAATTTTCCAAGCAACTTATTTTGCTAGATGGTAAATTTCACAAAACCCCCTAGAAGTTTGACTCATTTCGAGATTACCCTAAAAAGGTTTTGAATTGTCTACCCCTAAAACTTTTGCATTTTTCTAAATCTACTTTAGATAACCCCCAACTTTTTAGGATTATCTAGAAAAGTTTTGGGGGTGAAGTGACATTTTCAAAATTTTTTGGTTATCTCTCTTAAAAGACCAAACTATTACACAAAACTCCAAAGTTGTGATGAAAGTTGAGAGTTCTAGTTTTATATTCTAACAATGCCTCCACAAGTTAAGAGTCCTTTTTATGGGATTTGAACTTGGGTGGTTCTGATACCATCTTAAATGACCTAACCATTACACCAAAACTCCGAAGTTGTGGTGATGATTGAGGGTTATAGTTTTGTATCCTAACAATCTCAATGTACCATACTTTTCTTTTTATTTGAAATTTACTCGTTTGCCAAATGAGCTACCAAGAGATGGAATATTGATGAAGTACACCCTAGTAGGCAGATTGGATGGATGGACCTCGTCATTATGTATCTCTTGGTGGCCTATAAAACAAAATGAGGGTAAAACTAGTAAAATCTCTATATATAGGTGTGTGTATGTGTATATGTGGGTGTAGGTAGGCGGGTGAGTATGGGTGTACACAATGTTATCAATGTGCAACGCACAATGCATGGCGCGAAGTTCCTTTACGTGCATATGCACAAGGCGTAATGCGATGTGCGTGCCCGAGTTAAGCGAGGCGCACACCGCACACATAATTTTTCAAGATAGCTAAACAAGCAAGAAAGAACATGTTTATGAGTTTTCACATAAAAGTATGTCGAGACTAGAGATAAATAATATTTACTTTTAAATCACAATATAAGGTCTTACTTCAAAATGCTAACCCACCCAACATAGTAGAAACTTCATAATTTTCCAAATCAAAAGTCAAATCAGACTGATATCGAAGAAAAGTCAAATAACAAACGAGAACGATTTGGAGTCCTTAATCGGGCCTACGAAAATGGCCTAATGGGTTTATTTGTCTTTTTGTGATATAGGTTATAGGTGTAATGAACCCAATGAAATGTTAAAGAACAAAAATATAGGAGTCTGTCTTGTGTGCACCATATGCAAAGCACCCTCGCAGCACTTGTGAGGCACAAAAATGCGTTGCCCGCCTTAGTTGTGAGGCGGTTTGTCATCGCCCCTGCATTGCAAGGCGCATGAGGCTCAATGAGACATGTGTCTTTGATAACAATGGATGTACATGTAGGTATGCGTGTGTGTACATGCGTACTTGTCTTTGATAACAATGGATGTACATGTAGGTATGTGTGTGTGTGTACATGTGTACTTGTATTTCATAACAATGGATGTACATGTAGGTATGTGTGTGTGTACATGCGTACTTGTGTGTGTGTGCATGTGTACTTTTCTGTGTATGTATGTTACCATTCTGCTATCTTGGTGCTTCTTTTAGGTGAATGATTATATGCACAGGATTGTTGTATTTTGTTCACTGGTCGCAAAACTCAATCAAAAGTTGAACTTGTTCTGAATATTAATGAAGTGTTTCAGGATCAAAACTGGTGAATGCAAATGTGGTGTAAAAGAGAATTAAGGTTTCAGAATGTTGAAAGTCTCGTAATTGTTCAGATCTGTAAACTGCAGAAGAAACTAAAACATTTTCGTATGTACTTTTAAAAGCAAATACTTTATATTGTACATATTCAGTGAAGTGCTTCAGAATCTGAAACTGGTGAACGCAGTTTGGTGTGAAAGGAAATTAAGCTTTCAGGAATGTTGGAGCTCTTGTCACTGTTCATTTCTCTCAATTGCATTGCAGAAGAAACTAAAACAATATTGTATGCAAAGATTTCATTAGTTGTAGACATTTGTTTTCATGAGTTGAAAAAGGATACATATTTGCATTCTCTGGAGTTCTTTGGCTCGTATTCTAAATAGGACTTTGTTCAAGTTTCTGAAACCTTAGTTGCAAGAATTTATTTTTCCAATTTTGGTGATTCTGGTTGTTTGCAATTTGGAGAAAGAACTGGCTATCTTTTGCTGAGCTGCAACAGTAGTTCCCTTTCCTTTTTTTAAAATTTCATTTCATTTTATTTTTATTTCTAGCTAGTCTGGATGTTTAAGGATTTAAAGGTTGTCTGTACTGTATATTATTTTTTCTTTTATATCTGCAGGTATAAGTCATTTAAAGAAGTCATGGGAGGTGAATTCCTACTTCCTAACATATATCAACAAATAGATAACTAACGAAGAATAAAATTTGAGTCTTAATAAAATTTACGAGCATTACATACTCTTCATATATGATGATCCAATCTATTTTGTATCCTTGATGACATAAGTATTCTGAGGTATCTCTTGTTTCATCAGTTGAAAAGTAAACTATATGGCTATCTCAATAATTCAATTTGACAAAACCAAGTAGACGATTATGAAGGTTTTATGAAAATGTAACAAAAAACAAAGATATATCTACGTAGCAATACAAAGAAAAATGTTTCAAATGTTAATGTAAATCTTCCAAACATAATGCACATTTCTTGATCTACTTTCTAAGAAAAACAAATTACATTCAACATAAATGTAATCAAACCTGAGAAAGGTTAACCAGATAAAATTATTGTTATACCCTAAAAATTACTAAGTATAATAGACAGCTAAAAATCGGACACGTGTCATAATTAACTAATTAAGTTTCGCAAATCTGAAAGTACGACCCAGATGTAGAACTTGCTCATATCTCTTATTTGACCCAGGTCTGAGACAAAAGGTGTCTTTCAAGCTAGCCGACCCGGATCCGAGACAAAATGCATCTTCTACTCGGGATTGCTAGGGAATGTCTCGAACGACAAGACGACCTATTTGCTTCAATAGCCGTACTTCGCTGCTCAGTCACCCTCACAATTAATGTTGAGTCAAAGACATCGTAACTCTTCGGGCCAAAGTGATGAATCCTCGGACCACGCCAACACTTTACATTAAACACGAAGATGAGTCACTCAACCGGCTGTCGACATGTGTAAAGTGCGATCTGATCAGCCGATTGGACCAACCCGGTCAAATTACTAATATGCTATCAATCCTCTATAAATAGTGGACAATCTCCACTATTTTAAGATACACAATTGTATGCTACATAACACGCTGAAACTAGATTTTGCATATTTATTCAATCAGTGGCTAACTGATATGGTGTCAAACGGTTCGGTTTTATCCGAACCGATCCGCATCCATATTTGAACAGATGCGGATATGATAAGCTATTTTTATAACCGCGTGGATACGGTTTCGGATACGGATCTGGTTTTGATTTTTTTGGATACGGATCCAGATACGGATATGAGTGTAAGATTCGATTGCGAATACGAATATCCGCAATTTAATTAACATAAGAATTCGGGTCCATTTTTATATCCAAACCCATAACCGCTAACCAACCCAAAACCCAAGTAAAAAAAAGGCAAAATTTCAACATAGGTCCTTAATGTTATAGTCCTATTTTATTTGGGTCCTTAACGTTTTAAACTCATCAATACGAGTCTCTAACATTTACACCATTAGCAATTTTGAGCCTTTTTGAAAATTTCTATTAACTTTTGATGACGCGGCGGGGACTATTTGGTCATTTTAGGTATATTGCTGACTTGACTTTATTCTCTCTCTCTCTCTCTCTCTCTCTCCCTCTCTCTCTCTCTCTCTTTCTTAACCCCTCAACCCTCCGTACTCTCCCATTTATCAGTAGCTTGGGTTGACCGATCCCCCACCACCTTCGACCTTCGGTGCCCAAATTGAAGAAAAAACCCTTTGTACTTAAAACCTTAATTTGCACAAAACTTCTTTTTCTCCACTCCTCCTTCTCCTATTGCTCAATGGATTAGAACCAAAGACTCTTTTAAATCTCAACCCCTAGAATCCTTTTTATGAACCCTAATTTTCATTTTTCCAAATTAAAATGAGTTTATGCTCCAGTTTAGACAACAAACCCCTTTGTCATTGTGGGAGAAGAGCTGCAGTCAGAATGCCAAAGAAGGAACAAAGCAAAGGTTGGAATTTTTTTGGGTGTTCGATGAAGTCAGAGGTGGTTGCAACTATTTTAGATGGATTCATTCGAAAAGTGCACTAGAGAATGAAAGCGAAAAGTCTAGTTTAGTTGGCGAGAGCTCAAGAAATGCTTCATTTCATGAAGAGAGGATGTCTAATGCAGTCAAAAAAATTGAAAAATTGAAGAAGAAGATGGCGACGCAGAAAGATGTGGAGAATAAATTAGGATTTAGATTGAATTTAGCTATTTGTGCATTAGGTATTAGCATTGGCATTATTGTGGATTGTTGAGTTACTATAAATGCTATAGATGCACTCATTGATGTTGTTGTTTTTGTAAAAAAATCATTGTTATTTATAATCTTAGTGTTTTATTAGTATGGTTGTATCTCTGATCATGTTGTGAGGATGAGTTTGATGTACTCAATGTTAATATGCTCTTATATTTATCTACTGTTGTTGTAATGAGGAACTTGATGTACTCAATTGGCGAGAGCTCAAGAAATGCTTCATTTCATGAAGAGAGGATGTCTAATGCAGTCAAAAAAATTGAAAAATTGAAGAAGAAGATGGCGACGCAGAAAGATGTGGAGAATAAATTAGGATTTAGATTGAATTTAGCTATTTGTGCATTAGGTATTAGCATTGGCATTATTGTTGGATTGTTGAGTTACTATAAATGCTATAGATGCACTCATTGATGTTGTTGTTTTTGTAAAAAAATCATTGTTATTTATAATCTTAGTGTTTTATTAGTATGGTTGTATCTCTGATCATGTTGTGAGGATGAGTTTGATGTACTCAATGTTAATATGCTCTTATATTTATCTACTGTTGTTGTAATGAGGAACTTGATGTACTTAATGAAGCAACATTGATGTTAAAAGGAGGAAAAAAAGAGTATTACAACGCTTGGAGTTCACAAGCATTAAGCAAAATACACCAAATAGTGATGAAAATAAATGAAGAACCTGAACAAATCTATCGCAAACAAATAACTTCAAAGAAAGTACATCTAATGCAAACAAATACATCGAACACATATTGTACTTTGCATTAAATCTCCTTGTTTGCATTCACATCTAAAATCCACATACACCAAGTTGTTAAATATCATCTAATATAGAATATACTTACATCGGAAGCAACCAAATTTTTCAAAAAAATAAAATGCACTTTGCATTTAATCTCCAGTTTGCATTCAAGTAGTTTGCACATGCAACTTAAAATCCAAAGCATATTTGCCATAATCACACTCCAGATTGTTAAGTATCATTTAGACAAATATATGCCACAATAGCACATCCCAAAATTTATGGCAATATAACATAAAAAATTTGATAATAGCACACAAAAAGACAAAAGCAACCACAATTTACATAAGATTATTGTGTGGCACGTGTTGGTCCAGCTTCGCGAGACTTCCTACTTGTAGACTGTTGTGTCAAGCATACCCTCATCCTTAATCTTGGACCTGCATTAACCTAGCATATAGACCAAAGCATCTTTAAGGTGAGCAATTATGATAAAATTATATAAAAAATTATATAAAGCATCTAATATATGCAGTTGCTCCCGATTTAGATCTAGATTGAACTCCAGATTGAGATTGATCCCTTCTCTTTGGTATAAGATCACACTACATGGAATAAAATACAATTGTACTCATTTTTAGGTTTGTCATTTTAGGTTTGTAAACTGAATCAAGATGAGACTACTTGTAGGCAATAAAAATTGCCTTTAAATCCTTATCAGAGAAGTTCAGAACAAAACTGCTAAAACCTCGTCCGAAATAGCAAAAAGGGAAAAAACACTGATAAAAAGGGGGAAAACGCAGATATCTCCCAAACCGTAAGGAATTTGGCGAAACGGAGGAAGCGAACCAAAGCCTTTGGCTTGGTTCGGATGGCTCCGTCTCGTCGAGATAGACGATTTTCATATATAATTCGTCCAATTCCGATATACGGTTTGAAAGTTACGGCCTATTCTTCGATCCATGCTCAGGAGCTCGCCTGCAGCTCGAATTTCGCCTGCACGATCAAGACCCAAGTCTGCCTGCACATCCGAGCTCGCCTGCAGACCCAGCTCGCCTGCAAGCTCGCCTACAGACCCAAGTCTGCCTGCAGTCCCAAGCTCGCCTGCAGACTCAGCTCGCCTACAGACCCAAGTCTGCCTGCAGTCCTAAGCTCGCCTGCAGACCCAAGCTGCAGACTCGCCAGCTCACTGTCAACTGCCCACTTAGAGTATGAGAACAGTTACATCAGTGGTCAAATCCCACAAATCAAGAAAGAAAGCATGACGCTCCTCACCTAGCAAGAATAGGACGGCTGTCAGGACCCCCTAAGTGGTCACATCCCACAGCTCTTAGGGGTCACATCCCACAGCTAGGGCGGCTGACAGGACCCCCTAAGTGGTCACATCCCACAGCTAGGGCGGCTGACAGGACCCCCTAAGTGGTCACATCCCACAGCTAGGACGGCTGGCTCCCTCACCTCTATTAGTGGTCAAATCCCACGAATCAAGGGATGACCCATACCATCCCTTGCCTATTAAAACCCATCTTCAGCCAGCATGAAGAGGGGATTGGCTGCTGCTTACTCGGCTAGCTAATCTTCCAAAGGTTGAACCTTAGCTTTTGCAAAAGGCTCCCTCATTGGAAGAGACTTGTCGAAACTCTCCGACTTGAGGCTCTCGGGTAGACTCGAACCCACTTACATCAGACCTTCTACCGAGAACTGAAGCTCCGGCAGCAACTTCGATCGGATCGTCCAAGAGAAGCAGACTCGGCACGAGCACCGAGCGAGGCATCCTATCGCTACCGAGGAACCCACATTAAACAAGGAGGGCATTCCCTCCGCTTCTGTTGTAAACATTTGATTCATTAGTTTGTAATAAGCTATTCTTATTAATACAAACGAAGTTCCTTGTTTTCGGGAGATCAAAATTTACACCTACACTACTACTGTATATGACGGAGCATAAAAATATACCTCTAAAGTTGCAAGTGCACAACCATCAAGTTACAATATAAAAATTTATGTTGTAGGAGAAAATCAAAATTGGTTCTTATGTTTTGTGTGACAATTAGAAGCGATGGATGTGATTATGAATAGATAGAGAGAGTGAGAGTGATTGTATGTAAATAAAAACAAAACGAGATTAAGAGTAGATGTGATAAAGTGTAAATGTAAACAAAACTAAGAAAAGGGAAGAAAGAAAGATGAAGGAAATAAAATCAAGAAACAAATGAGAGAAAAATCAAGAATAAAAAGGAAAATGAAGAAAGTAAAAGATGGATGATTCAATTGGAGATAGAGGAATCTAGAATTAAATCCACTAGCTAGTTTCATGTAATATCTAGAATTCCCACAAGGATTAGTTCCACATCTTCAGAAAAAGGGCAATTTCCTAGAGGGTTCTAGCCTCAAGGCAAATCAAAGAAAAGAAAAATAAATAAAAATAAAAACTAATCATAAGAGGGTTCTAGCCTCAAGGCGAATAGTGTAAGAAAAAAAGTCTAAACTATAAAATAAATTGTAAAAATCTAAACTACAAAATAAATTATAAAAATCTAAACTACAAAATAAATGTAAGAATTTAAAGCAAGGAAGTAAAGACATGAAAATAAATCTACTCTACAAGCATGAAAATAAATTCAAGACAAGAGGGTTCTAGCATCTTGGCTATTTAAATAAGAAAATAAAACAAAAGATAAATTTATTAATAAATAGAAAATTTACATCCCAAGAGGGTTCTAGCCTCAAGGTGATAACAAACATTCATCTTGATCTTCATCTTCATCTCATCTTCATCTTCAAAATCAAACAAAGAGAAGAAAAAAAATACGAAGAGGTGAAAATATTATTTTATTAATTACAACAAAAAGTTACAATTTGGAAGGTTTCTCAATTAAGAGTACCCACCTCACCAAAAGGAGTTTTTACAAAACATTTCACACTTGAACCCTTTACTCTCTAACCCTATTTATAGTGTATTATAACAACTATCAACCATTGGATTAAACTTGATCCCCAAATTAATCAATTTCAACCTTTAATCCGTAACAGTAAACTTGGTATCGATACCGCTATCGATACAGGTATTGATACTCAGTCATTTTGTTCTTTGGCCGATCTTCTCTTATGTGTATGAGCTTGAACTTCTTGGGCTTTTTGAGAGATGAGATGTTGAGTTCTTTTGGGCTTTTATTCATTAACTTGCAATTAAAATAAAACATGTTTATTAGTGACATTTTTATTTAAATCAAATAGATAATAAGGGTATAAAAATATAATAAATATGTGATTATCAATATATATTTTGACTATATATATTTCAGATTTATCATTTGAAAAATAGCTTTGGGTTTCAAGTTTTATCAGTTTCAGATTTTGTTAATTATAATTTAAATAACATAGCTCAAATTCAATATAAATGAAATGGTTAATACCTACAGTTGCTCGTTGTTGTTTGTTTGTATCCCTCCTTGGTGCTTTTTTCCTTGCCGCATTATCAGCTTCTATCCTCTCACCTTTGCATGTCATCGCATTGTGTCCAACTCTTCCACACTTTCGACATTTTGCTGGTGTGTTCCTCTTGCTAAGCTTTGCACCACATTTTCCAATTCTCTACTCATCTGGCTCTAATCTCATAATTTCCTCGGTCTTCCTCCCACCCTCTTATACACAGGGGGGGGTTAGATCCTTTAACTCTGCTTCAAGTCATTGATCTGCCCCCCTAATGGCATGTACTATTGGCTTCTAACAGGCTATGTAGGCCTCTTTGCTATAATACTTATGAACATATTGTTCAGGGTTCCACCCTAGCAAGCATCATGACAGCTACTGAATGACAACACAGAATCCCTGAAATATCTCATTTTATGCCGCTACAAGTCTTCTCTGTAAGGTTCACAACATATTGAGCTTCAATGCAATGAGGTCCAGATGAAACTTGGTAATATTGAGTCCCACACCAAATTGGGCACCATTTTGTATTTTCCTTTTTCTCTTTGTTTAGCTTTTTTTTGAATCACTGGACAAATTGGTCTTTTGAACGTCAACATCTTTTGTCTATTTTCAATAAACATTTGTTGTTCTTATCATCTCTAACATTGTGATGATTGGTTTAGACTGTGCTTCAGTTATAGTAGACTTGAAGCTCTCTGACATGTTGTTTAATAATACATCACATTTAGAATATGGGCTAAATGCAGACTTGACCATGTTCTAGGATCTTTCTCCCAGGCCTTGGAATCTAAAGCCTTCATTTCATCCATTTCTTTCATCCAAGCTCCAATGTAAGTAGCTCTAGTTGTGTTCCATAATTTATCTTTCAACTACATGCTTGGAAATTACTTTCTAAAATTGTTGTAGAGATGTCTGCCACAGTGACGATGATTGACTTGTACTGGAAAGTCTGTTAAACACTTTTCAAGCCCCTACGTTAACAATACAAGAAGTAGTAGTGTGTGCAACATAAATGACATGAAATTTACAAGGGAAGTTTATTTGGATCTTTCCTATGTTTTCGATATTCAACCAGCAATCCTATGACCAAGTTTGATGAGAAACTGTTGGATTGTTACTAAAAGTTCAACATGCACAAAATGGAACAGTAACAAAACCATAGCCTTTTTGTTGACAAGTTATTAGCTAATATATTAGCTAATGTACAATAAAATTAAAGTACAGTAAGATGGCATTTATATCAATCTAACTACTCAAATAAGTTACAAAAGTTAAAGGTAAGCATACCTTTTGTTGATCAGATATAAAGGTCCATCCTTTATCTTCAATTGAACCGATATCATCAAACAAGCTTTTTAAAAACCATGACCAACTATCATGACACTCCAAGTCAACCACTGCTATTGCAATAACAAATATTCTGTCATTTGGATCCTTAGAAACCGCAGCCAACAGTTGACCTCCATGCACCCCTTTAAGATGACATCCATCGAGACCAATTATTGGTCTACAAGCTGCCATAAAACCATTCGTCCATGCGCTGATAGAATAATATAGTCTCTCAAATCTTGGAAATAACACTCTGCTTGGACCAATCACATCTAACTCATTTTGTGTAACACACTTTATATAGCACATGCTTCCAATGTTGGTCTCTCTAACTTCGAGCAAATATTAGGGCAAGACTTTGAATTGAGCATCAATAGCCCCTTCAACAATCATTTCTGTCTACTTCTTGGCTCTATACACTTTTTGTTTTGAAAGATTGAGGTTCCATTTTTAGAGTCTTCACCCATTGGGAGGCCAACCAACTGTCGCTTGCTCTCTTGTTATCATGCACCATAGAGCATGGGTGGTATTGATGATAAGTTTTCACTTGAAAAGCATCGGTGTTGTTGTAAGGAGATGCATATATCTTCCACTCATAATCCTTTCCTGTACGAATCATCTTTACCCTCTGCTTGTCAATTTTGTCAAACTTAAAGCTATGAAAATTATGCACAAAATAGTCAATAAGAACCTTCTTGAGGAATTGTCTACTTTTAAAAAATAAACCAAGTGTAGACTTTATATTCTTAGGATCATATGGTTCTTTGAATTCAGGAAAAGAAGTCATACCACTAGGATGCTCATCATTTTTGTCATTAGTGAATGGTAACCCCTCATCATCAGTATGAGACCCTTCCCAAGCATCATCCTATTATGTACCATCTGTGCTCTGGTCCTCATCCTCTTTTTTAACCCTAGTAGCAGTTGTCCCTTCAAATTCTTCGCTACTGCTGCTATCAGAATCACTGTCATCGAAGCTTATGCCAATAGCACTGTCATTTCCACTATCCTCACTATCACGAACACCATCAACAGCCCCTTCATCCTGTTCTGACCCAACAACATCATCATCCAGTAGGTGCTCAACATAGATTGACACTATATTATTATTATTACGAGCAATCATCATCTTCATCTCCATTGCACCAAAATCATTTGTCAGAATCTCTAAGCTCTGTTCAAAAGTGCTAAAACTAGACTTTGAGTACCATATAGCACTGAAAGGATTATTAGACAATAGTTTTTTCACAAAACCTTCAATATAAAAAAACCCAATTTTATCATACTCCGCATTATCAAAATAATCTATAGAATCCCCACTGTTTCTCGAATCTGGAGGTGGCGTGAGAAAACCACCATGACGCATATGAATACTGAAAGTAGAGCTCATTCTAAATACACCTAGTAGATCAACATCAACCTTAAAAAAAAAATTCTCACAAGACTAAACGTACCGCGCTCGTCTCCTTAGTTTGCTCGAATTAGGTGGGAAAGAGAAGGAGTAGTGCTGATCATGACAAACCCCTTTCAATTCCTCTGCATCGTCTTCATTCCCAGCATATTTCACGAAGCCCCGTGCTCGGATCACTTCAAATGTTCAAGCCGTCGTAGAAATTGGGTAGATGTAGAATAGAGGAGTATTGGGTCGACTTCCAAATTTGAACTTAGCAGTGATTTGGAAGGGGATTGGGGAGGGTTTAGTTGAGAGAAAGGGATAGAAAAGAAAAAGAATGAGAAAGTAAAAAGAAAAAAATGATATTCTTTTTATTGTTTGGTCAGAAAGAATATTGTAATGAAAGTTAGAAGAAAAATTATATGAAAGACATATTCTCTTGTTTGGTTACCTTTCTGAGAAAAAGTGGAAAAAAATTATCACACCATAATTTTAATTCGTATTTTTTGTAATTAGATTTAGATTTTAAATAATTTACAAAAAATAATTAACAAGCAAAAACACAATCACAATTCCACTAATTAAAGAACAATATTTCTCACACATAATATTAACAAGCAGAAGCACAACCACAATTCCACTAATTAAAGAACAACATTTCTCACACATAATATTTGTAGAAAGAAAGGTCAATGAAAGAACCAAAATAAATCTAAAATAAATGTCATGATATTTCTAATATAAAGTATAATCCATTTCTAGTCACGAAGTCTATTACAATCAATTTCATATAGAAAATCTTAACTAACAAAATCTATTACAATCAATTTCATATAGAAGATCTTAACCAACAAAGTTTATTACAATCAATTTCATATAGAAAAGCTAAACCAGAGAGAGAGAGAGAGAGAGAGAGAGAGAGAGAGAGATGCTGAAGTCCTTGGTTTTTGGCTTTAGTGAGCCCATCAAAACATCAATTTCACATCCTTCGTTCCCTGAAATTAATTTAAAAAAATTCCAATAAGTAGAATATAAACATCAAAAAACTATAAAATAAAGTCTTAACATTCTTTTAGAAGCAAAATGAAACTATCACTCGTCGTATCATGGTTCTTTTCTTAAGACTAATCATCATAAATGATGGAAGTGACTAATCATCGTAATGTAAGTTTGCCCCCCTAAACATGTGGCTTTGTGTTCTAATCTTGTGAAATTTACTAAATACTTCCAAATGGAGAGATAACTTGAAGGCATGCTTATTGTAAATCTGTATATAAATCAAAACTAGAAAAAATTCCATACATACACAAAAAGAAAAGATGCATATATTGGTGATATAAGTAACTTTGTACATGGAACAGACTTAAATGATAAGAGCTATAATATCATACTCAATAAACATTAAATTACAAACAATAAGGTGATGTACTTATTACTATCAAACAATGCAAGTTCAAACTCAAAGACAATCCTCCCATCATGAAAAGGTAAACACTAGAGGGCCCTTCAACTTTTGAAAGACAGGAAGGCTTTTATATTAGGCAAATGAATGTTAGTAAATTTTTATTTCATTATACCTTAAACTTAAGAACTAGGTGGTAAAATGCGAACATGTAATTAGAGTGTAAATTAAATTACCTCATAGTACCGATACTAAGATTGTGTGATGCCCATCCAAGCTTAATCTCCAACCACCTTTTCCTTCATTGAATTGGTAACCCAATAAAGTTCCTCCCTCGAGCCGCATCCTTAATAAGATAGTCGTAGGCTACAAGCTGTGCGTCCTCATTGAGCCCTTCAACTTTTGAAAGCTCCTCAAATATCTCTCCTTCTGTGTAAAAACGAGGACTAGTCTTCAGGTCATTTACATGAGCTAGGATAAGTAACATTGAATGCATGTGGTCTAAACTAATAGGATAAGTAACATTGAAGTTACATGAGCTAGCCAAAATATATCATTTTTGATATTAAGACATGCATAGATATTCCATATACTACAATGTGACATATATATCGTGGGCTTTGGATGTGATTCATGCACTCAAATCTGTGTCGTGTGCATATACAATTTGTATTGCTAAATATACATATTTGTTGATCAAAATGGAAAGACTCTGAATCCATGTAAGTAGTACACAGACTCTACCCAATTCCATGCAAAGGTCGAGCTTTTAGACACAATACAGAACCATCCATACAGGCCAGGTCCAGGCCGGGGATTAACATCCTTATGGACATTTATTATATGCATACTTATAGGTTTAAAAAGATACTAAATGAGTACGCAAACACTTGCTGCAAATGCAATGATAGGAAAGTTTGACAGCACCGACAAAAGAAAATGTGACAGATTATGGTGTGTATAAGAGAATGTGATAAATTATTTCCAGTACCTATAAGCAGAGATCAAGTGTTGTACCAGACATGTCAACTTTTCCATCCAAGAAAGATCAACTAGTTAGAAAAGCTTGTGAAATCCAATTTATCTATAATGACACCATCAAGCAATGGTTTATTCAGTACCAAGCTACCAGACAGACCCTTCTTTGATAATCTATTACAAGGTGGGATAACGGCATATATTTCAATCCCCAGGATAAGTCACCAATAAAAAGTAATTATTTGAGAGCAAGAAAGTATCCAGTGAGGGTATGGTCTATAGCAAAATTTTGAACATACCTTATATAGTTAAATAGTCCAAATAATGATAAAATTATAATGATAAACTCTTATTGCAATACACGTAAAAGCTAACGCACCTCACTGTTAAGTTAAACAATACAAAAATAAATCTGATACTATGCTGCAAAGTTTGATTTTTAAGGAATCTGCTGATCTAATTCTTTCCTTTTTCGCCCTTTTCTGATTCGATTCAGTCCCCTCCTTCATTGGATCTTAATTTATTAGCCAGTGGTCTCTCTGTTTGTTTTCCCCTTCAATTCGTTGATGTGATCAACTTCATCTCATTGTTTCATCTCATTGTTATGACATTTCCCATTCGAAAGCACAAGAATTTACTACAAGCAATCATAATCCAACTGCGAAGAAGGGGAAAGCTGAACAACAACAACAACAACAACCCATCATATACATTCTGATCGCTTTATTTAAAAGCTTATGATAATGGGTCTTAGGCTAAGAATGTATATCAAACAAGCTGAAAATTTGACATCGTATTGATAAAGCTTGAACAAAGGACCTGCTAAACATTGGTACTATGCTTAAACTAATAATATGTATTTGACATTACATGATTTTTCTACATATTTTGCAAGATTACATTTTCTTTTTTTTTTCTTTTTTTGCGGCAGTAGCGAAGCGCATAAAGCTCGTTCCATCCTCTTAACACTCATCTAAATGGATGTAAGAAAATCCTCAAATGGAGCAGCTTATTGGTTCATGTTTAAGAACATTTTACAAAAGGATACACCAAGTTGATTCATATAAGTTGTATTACGGTTTAACCTATGGTTATGCACTTATAACCCATGAAACAACAACTGCAGTAAGAACTTGTTGGACCTTAAAAGTTCTCATAACTGAAACGCAAAAATGAAATGCAAATGTAATTAGATGAGTGTATGATATGGTTCATAAAACAATTAAAACAATAAATAACAAAAATGAAATGCAAAAATATCAAGTTTTGATTAAAAAAAGTCTAAGGAGCATTTCATCAAACACTTAGAAAGTAAAAAGAAAGAGAAAGTAAAAAGAAAGGAAAAGAAAAAGAAAAGAAAATGATAATACTTTTATTGTTTGGTTAGAAAGAATATTGTAAGGAAAGTTAGAAGAAAATTCATAAGAAAGTCATTTTTTCTTGTTTGGTTACCTTTATGAGAAAAGAGGAAGAAAAATATCACAATATAATTTTAATTCATACTTTTTGGAATTAGATTCAGATTTTAAATAGTTTACAAAAAATAATTAAATTAAATTATGATTCTATCATATTTTTAAAAAATTTACAAGTTACCGAACATGTTAGCACAATCTTAACTAAGAAAATTTAGTCAAATTTACGATGACTCTAAATTTACATATAATCTTACATGGTCTTGGACTTGCAAGTTATTCATAACCTCAAGTGAAGAAAGATGATTCCGAATAAGCTCTAGACAATGATGCAATTCAAGCATAATTATTCAAAATTAGTATCATTCATATCTTAGGAAGTAACAGGTTAATAAACATGTATTAATCCGTTTCTCACACATAATATTTGCAGAACAACATTTCTCACACATAATATTTGCAGAAAGAAAGGTCAATGAAAGAACCAAAAACAAATCTAAAGTTAGAAGAAAATTCATTAATTAAAGAACAACATTTCTCACACATAATATTTGCAGAAAGAAAGGTCAATGAAAGAACCAAAACAAATCTAAAGTAAATGTCATGATATTCCTAATATAAAGTATATAATCCGTTTCTAGTCACAAAGTTTATTACAATCAATTTCATATAAAAAAAACCTTAACCAACAGAATCTATTACAATCAATTTCATATATAGAGAATCTTAACCAAATAGAGAGAGAAAAATATGCTGATGTCCTTGGTTTTTGACTTTAGTGAGCCCATCAAAACATCAATCTCGCATCCTTCATCCCTTGAAATTAATTCAAAAAATTTCAAATAAGTAGAATATAAAGGTCCAATATAGTTATAACTTAGAATTTGCTACAAATTATATCTAACACTGTAAAAAGTAAAACATAAACGAAGACGTGAGCTCCAATATAGTTATAACTTAGAAGTAAACCAACATAACTCTCTACAACAATGAAGAAAGATTCCTACACTTCTGCCTATTTGTTCTCATGTGACGATCCCACAAATCAAACCAAGATCCTTGTCTGCTCCTATTTGTTTTTGTTAATACTTAAGATTGTTCCTAGCCAGTAGCATGTACAGATACAATGATTGGGTACCTTCAACATGACATATACAGCAGATTTGCTTGCTGACGAGGGAGTTGTTGGGGATACACAACCCCCCTGATGTGATTTGGAAATAGAGATTTAGGAGAGAAGAGAGAAAATCAAACAATCTCAAACACACAAGATTTACGTGGTTCGCTTCTCAATGTGAGAAACTACGTCCACGGCCGCCGCAGGAGAAAAATTCACTATTTTTCGTCTCTTTACATCATGCCCTAATCAACCCATTTATAGACTTAAGGGTTTAACAAGTAAACAAGGAAACAGATCAAATCAGGTTAAAAAACGAATCTGGGCCAAAACCCGACTCCGGTCGACCGCAGCACCACGTGCGAAAGCTGTAAAAGCTCTCCTTCGTCGTTTTGCTTGAACTTTGCCATTGTCGATCCTGTTCCTCTTGTTCCAACTTTGTTCCTCTTCATTCTGAAGTGTAGGGCACACCTGATAGTTAGGCTTCACATATCCTAACAATCTCCCACTTGGAGACTAACTATCAACCTCTTTCAGCTCTCTCTGCGGTGACGACCTCCGTATCATCAAGTCCTGAGGCCAACTGAAGTTGAGCACAACTTCAGTTTCTCTGTAGTGACAACCTTGGTAAGCATATCGGCTGGGTTCTTGCTTCCTTGAATCTTCACAAGTTCCAACATGTCCTCGTCCAACGCTGATCTTATGAAGTGGTAGCGGACCTATATGTGTTTGGTCCTTGCATGAAAAGCGGGATTCTTTGCCAAATGAATTACGCTCTGGCTATCACAATGTAAGACACTCTTCTGTCCCAGCTCCTCCAAGAAACCCTGTAACCATATCATCTCCTTGCTTGCCTCTGTCACCGCAACATATTCAGCCTTTGTCGTTGATAAAGCAACGATTTTCTGCAACTGAGAAACCCAACTAATAGCTGTAGAGCCCAAAGTGAATACATATCCTGTAGTGCTCCTTCTCTGGTCTATCTCACCAGCATAGTCTGCATCAACAAAACCCTGCAGGACTAACTTGCCTCTTCTGAAGCATAGACAATCTTCTATAGTACCTCACAGGTATCTAAGAATCCACTTTACTGCTTCCCAGTGCTGCTCTCCTGGATCTGACATAAATCTGCTCACAGCTCCCACTACATGGGCAATGTCGGGTCTCGTGCATACCATGACGTACATAATGCTTCCAATGGCTGAAGCATATGGAACCTTAGCCATGTATTCTTTTTCTTCATCAGTCTCAGGACACTGCTCCTTAGTCAGTTTGAAGTGACTGGCTAACGGTGTGCTAACGGCCTTAGCACCACTCATCCCGAATCTCTCAAGCACCCGTCTAATGTACTCGGCCTGAGATAGCCGCAGTGTGCCCAAGAGTTTATCTCTACTGATCTTCATTCCCAATATCTGCTTCGCTGCGCCTAGATCCTTCATGTCGAACTCACTCGACAGTTGCTTCTTCAGCTTCTTGATCTCTGTCATATCTGAACCGGCTACTAGCATGTCGTCGACATATAGAAGCAAGATGATGTAACTGTTGTCGAACTCTTTGACAAAACAGCAATGATCATCATTACACCTGGAGTAACCGTTCCTGTGCATGAATCCTTCGAACTTTTTGTACCATTGCATTGGAGCTTGTTTTAGGCCGTACAAGCTCTTCTTCAATCTGCATACCATCTTCTCTTTTCCCTTCTGAGTAAATCCCTCTGGCTGCTGCATATATATCTCTTCCTCTAGATCACCGTGGAGGAAAGTTATCTTTACATCTAGCTGCTCGAGATGTAGATCTTCAGCTGCAATAATACTCAGGATTGTTCTGATGGTAGTTAGTTTGACTACTGGAGAGAAGATCTCTGTGTAATCAACTCCTTCTCTCTGCTGAAATCCTTTAACCACCAATCTGGCCTTGTATCTCTTGGAACCATCATGTTCCTTTTTGATTCTGTACACCCATTTGTTGCTCAAGGCCTTTTTCCCCGTTGGTAGCTTCGCAAGTTCCCATGTCTTGTTGGTGTTCAAGGATTTTATTTCATCTTTCATGGCAAGCTCCCACTTGCTCGCATCATCCACTCGGAGGGCCTCATCATAACTTTCTGTCTCTCCACCATCACTCAATAATAGGTAGTTGAGATGAGCTCTGGGCTGTAGTGATGGGTACTTCGGATTAAGCTTGGGGACTCTAGCTGACCGCCTCAACTCTCTGACGGGCGAAACAGGCCCTCCATCTTCATCTGCCCCCTCTGAAGTAGTCTCATCCATCAACTCTTCTTCTTCATCAGAACTAGCTTCGGGATTGCCTCCATCTGAGGCATCATCTGACTCGAAGTATGTGGGATCACGCTGTGTCGAACTAGTGGACTGAACGACATCACGGTCTTTGTAGAAGACTGTTTCATTAAAGACCATATCCCTGCTTCTGATGATTTTCTTGTTCTGCTCATCCAAGAACTTGTAGCCAAACTCATCACCGCCATAGCCAACAAAGAAACATTTTAAGGACTTAGGATCGAGTTTGCTTCTAGAGTGATCACTCAGATGTACATATGAAACACATCCAAATACTCTCAGGTGAGAAAGGTTTACCTGCTTTCTACTCCATACTTCTTCAGGTATTTTATGCTCCAAAGGCACTGATGGTCCCCGGTTGATCAAGTAGGCAGCTGTGTTGACTGCTTCTGCCCAGAATTGCTTTGGAAAACCTGCTTGTAACCGCATACTTCTGGCTCTCTCAGTCAATGTTCTGTTCATGCGTTCTGCTACGCCATTCTGCTGGGGTGTACCTGGCACTGTCCTCTCTAATCTAATGCCGCTGTCATAACAGAACTTCTTAAACTCTGAGTCTTCATACTCGCCTCCGTTGTCAGAACGAAACTTCTTGATCTTCAAACCGGTCTCGTTCTCAACCATAGCCTTCCATCTCTTGAAGACTTCAAACACTTCTGATTTGTGTTTCATGAAATAGACCCAAGTCTTCCTCGAGTGATCATCTATGAAGGTCACAAAGTATAACCTTCAGCCGGTGGATGGTACTGATGCTGGACCCCACACGTCTGTATGAACTAACTCAAGCTTCTCTTCTTTAGGGGTTCTGCCAACCCTTTTGAAGCTTATTCTCTTTTGTTTCCCAAGAATACAACTTTCACATAAGTCAATATCAGCCGATCTCAAACCTGGTAACTTCCCATTCGATTGCATAACCTTTAGGCCTTTGCTACTCATGTGACCTAGCCTCTGGTGCCACAAATTTGGGTCTTCACTGCCTTCAGCCACTGCAATGGAACCTCGTGCATCTATCGTCATGTAGAGAGATCCAGTCTTCGTACCACGGGCAACAACCATGGATCCCTTTGTAACCTTCCACGTATCACATGCGAAGGTTGATACATATCCCTCTTTCGCCAATTGTCCTATGGAAATCAGATTTTTCCTCAAGCTAGGAACATGTCTCACATCACTCAGCTTCCATGTAGACCCATTGAGCTTGATTTGCACGACTCCTTTTTTGCCAACGATATCACATGGCTGATCATCACCAAGATAGACTTTTCCTAGGTTTCCTGAAACATAGTTCTCAAATAAATCTCTATTTGAGGTAGCATGAAACGAAGCTCCTGAATCCAGCACCCACGATTCAGTTTTGCTATCCAACGAATAGATTAGGGCATCATTTGATTCTCCTGAGGCCACGTTCGCTTCAGTCCTGTTCTCCTTGTCCTTCTTGGGTTCTCGGCACTGATTCTCATAGTGGCCAAACTTGCCACAATTCCAGCAATCGATCTCCTTCTTACCCTTGCGGTTCCTAGACTTTGACCTTCCGTTCCTCGAGTTAGGTCTTCCACGACTATTTCCTCTGTTTCTGTTTCTTCCTCTTCCTCTAAGATTCAACGCCGACCCTGAATTAGAAATCCCTTCCTCTTGTCTTCTTATTTCCTCAGTCATAATCATGTCCACCACCTCTGAAAACTTCAGTTTTGATTTGCCACATGATCCGCTAATCGAGATAACGGTACCCTTCCAACTGTCGGGCAATTGACCAAGTATCAAGAGGGCTTGGATTTCATCGTCAAACTGAATATTGACCGAATTTAATTGATCTGTGATCTCGTTAAACTCGTTCAGGTGTTCCTTGAATTTCTGGCTCTCGGACATCCTCAAATTAAACAGCTTTTTAATGAGATGTACCTTATTCGCCGCAGAGGGCTGCTCATACATACTGGACAACGCCGCCATGAGATCCGCCGTCGTATTCTGATTCTTGATGTTGAACGCTACTGATTTAGACAAGGTCAACCTGATCGCTCCAAGGGCCTTTCGATCCAATAGCTTCCAATCCGCATCTTTCATATCCGTCGGCTTCTCTCCCAATGGTAGGTATAAATCCTTCTGATAGAGGTAGTCCTCCATCTGCATCTTCCAGAACCCGAAGTTTGTTCCATCAAACTTCTTAATCTTGGATGTTTCCTTCTCAGATCCCATTGTCTCTGACCTCAAATCGCTCGTGTCGAACCTGGTCCCTCTGATACCACTTGTTGGGGATACACAAACCCCCTGATGCGATTTGGAAATAGAGATTTAGGAGAGAAGAGAGAAAATCAAACAATCTCAAACACACAAGATTTACGTGGTTCGCTTCTCAATGTGAGAAACTACGTCCACGGCCGCCGCAGGAGAAAAATTCACTATTTTTCGTCTCTTTACATCATGCCCTAATCAACCCATTTATAGACTTAAGGGTTTAACAAGTAAACAAGGAAACAGATCAAATCAGGTTAAAAAACGAATCTGGGCCAAAACCCGACTCCGGTCGACCGCCGCACCACATCCGGTCGACCGCGATGCTGTTCGAAATCTGCCTGGCTCTCTGGACTTTTGGCGGTTGACTGCAGCGCCATGCTCGGTCGACCGCGACGAAGCCAAAAGTCTGGGTTGCTCTCTGGACTTTGAGCGGTCGACCGCAGCGCCACCTTCGGTCGACCGCGACGAGGACTTTGAGCGGTCGACCGCAGCGCCATGCTCGGTCGACCGCGAGCTTCTCCTCACCCTAGTGCCTGCCTGTGCACGTCGTCGGTCGACCGCCGCGCCATGAGCGGTCGACCGCAAAGCTGTAAAAGCTCTCCTTCGTCGTTTTGCTTGAACTTTACCATCGTCGATCATGTTCCTCTTGTTCCAACTTTGTTCCTCTTCATTCTGAAGTGTAGAGCACGCCTGATAGTTAGGCTTCACATATCCTAACAGGAGTTTACTGGGATTAATGTCATAGTTTAGTCTTCACTTATTCAAATGCGAGATCTTGAAGGGAGATGATCTTCAATCAGATTCCAGGGAAGTATATGAGATGCCCTAGTTCTCTACCCAAAAAAGCTGCAGCTTGGGTTTGAAGGGTACAAACAAGATGCAAACAAGACACAGCTCAGCAAGTTGCTGTACAAATACACAATCCAGGTGAAGAGAAGCTTCAGCTATGCAGTGGACATAGGGGGGGAAAAGCTCACACTGGCTTTCAAGCTCTAAAAATACAAGCCGAGGGGATTCAACAAGGGCCAGTAGGAACCTGAAAATGCGTAATGATGGTTCATAGCCGATCCCGCCACCTCAGGCAAGGTGAAAGTATCGATGTCCCACACGAAGCTTTACACTTAGAGATCACATCTCAACTATTTGTACATCAAGGATGATTGGAAGAAGGTCGCTGTCCTGAACATCATCTTCCTTGTATTTCTCAGCTCAACATCAAGTTGAAGTGCAGAGACAATCTTTTCAGCTGTTCCTCCAATAGACAATTTCTGGTTTAAGTTGAGAAACATTGAAAAATGTTTCGGTGTTTTGAGAAGAACGGAATTGGGCAAATGCTTTAGTTGTTTTTTAGCGGGTCGAGTCGGGTTGGGTGAGAGCGGGTCGGGTTTTTAGAGTGTTTTCACTTTTCAGGGTGTAAATCTAGTTAGAACTCAAAAATTAAAATTGACTAAAATGCCTTGCCACATCATCAAAAGTTAACATAATTTTTTTTTAAAAGGATCAAAATTTCTAACGTGCAAAACCCGCTAGGGACTGGTATGGACGAGTTTAATACGTTAAGGACTAAAATAAAATAGGCCCATATCATTAAGGACCTATGTTGAAGTTTTGCCAAAAAAAAAACCCTAGCTTTACAAAATCCATCCCTCATTCCTCAATTCCCAAATTCTCAACTCCGTTGTCGCCAACTCTCTCCTGTCACCCGCTCCACTGCGTCGGCCGTCTCAACCTCGACAGCGTCGCCGCTCAAACCTCCGCACACCCGCCTCCTCTCGCCTCCCTCCGCCGCCTCTTGCGACCCCTACTCCTCCTTCAGATCCCGCCATCAGATCCCTCCTTGCCTCTTATCCCGCCGCCGTCTCCTCCCTCCTCCTCCGCCCCCTCTCCGACAAGCTCCTCTGCGAGAAGGACCAGCACGCCCAGTCCGCAGCCCGAACGCCGCCCATCCTCTCTGTTCCATAAGGTCGAATCGAAACACTAGTTATATGATATTGCATATATATGTGATTGTTGTATTATATTTTTATCATTTGATGTTGATATCTGCTGAGCTCATTTTGCATGGTCTCCTCAGTTTGAAGTTTGTATTTGTGACCACAGACACTGATGTAGGGAGAAGCCTACAACCACATAATTTACCCATTTGATTGTAATTTATACATTGGTGTATTAATTCATATCCGATTCATATCCGTTTGTCAAATATCCGTTTCATATTCGTGATCATATTCGATCCTATTCTATAATATCCGAACCATATCCGTTTCCTATGAGTGTAGAAATGGTCAATGTTTTTTCTTACCAAAGATAATCCGTATCCACGTCCGTTTATAGAAAGCGAATATGGATATGGTAGGTGTCATATTCAGGTGTCATATTCGAACCATATCCGCTCCGTTAACACCCCTACTAACTGAGCTTCGGGGGTACATCGGATAACCCAACTCCGGTCCTCTAATGGTGTTATTCGTGCAGAAATCTTCTTCCCTTCTGTTGATTAGCCATCGAAAAAGATGAAGAGACGCTAGACTCCTCTAAACATCCACTAACCAATATAATCAACTTTCTGACGTAAACAATTGTACTACAATATTAATTCTCCCACTCTAAAAATTAAAATTTTAACATTCCTGTATACGAGGATTATTCTATTATGTTGCTTTTTTTTTGTTTCTTGCGAATCCCTAAACCCCACCACCCGCCAGCACACCCCAGTATTTACAATAATTAAAAGTCATAGAAAACTTTTTTTAAAATTTTTTATAACAGTATACAAGTTCATAATCGTTATAAAAAAAAATTCATAATCCTAACAGGATCCGTATGCAACCCGACCCGAACTACACGCTTGACCCAACCTGACAAGTGACACGTGTCGAGAACGTAGTGGTCACTATGAGGCGGTGTGTGGTTCACCCACGTTAGCTTACTATTTATACGAACAAAGAAGAAAGAAAATTTAAAAATAAAGAAAAGATTAAAAGGGGAAGAATTGGCAGAGTTAAAATTTTGGCGAATTCATTAAAATAAAAAATTTTGATTTTTATTTCTTCTTCCTTTTTGAGGTCAGTTTCTTTGATTGCATTTCTATTAAGTGTTGATCTTTTAATAGCACTGCTGTAGGTTCAATTTGTTCCCTTTTTCCTTCAAAATTTTCTTTTTTTTTGTTCAGTTTCAAATTTCTAGGGTTAAGATCAAGTATTTTTCTGATCAAATTATCTTTTGCAATTTCGGAAAATTTACTAACTACATACAGTATTCTTAGGTTTATAGTGTTAATTTCTTGACTGATGAGTAATGAATATTAATCTAGAATTATTATTTTTAGGTTTATAGTGTTAATTTCTTGACTGATGAGTAATGAATATTAATCTAGAATTATTATTTTTTGATGTTTAAGGATTTGGGACAAAATGGCTTCTTCCTTCATGAAGGCAGCAGCAAAGAAGGCAGGCCCAGCTATGAGGAAGCAAGCTTTGAGCTTGACCGATGCTGCTGCCTCTAGGATTCGCCAACTCCTCGATCTTCGTCAGCGCCCCTATCTCCGGCTCGGCGTCAAAGCCCGTGGATGCAACGGGTTATCATACACCATGAACTATGCAGGTTTGATAGCTGTTTTCATGTTGCAAACTCATAAATGTCATTATTTTTCAGATAGAAAAAAAGAAAAAGAATGTATAGAGGGCCCTCTATAAAGACAAATGTGTGTATCGTGAATCTTGATGCGCATGTCAGTCATTAATGTCTAGTTGTGACTTGACAGGTGAATGCGCAGATATCCCAGGTGTCACCCTCTCCTTCATATAAGATCTTTTATCGAACGCAGTCTATTGGATTATTCCTTTATTTCTTGCTTAGATGATGACTTGTTGGTATGCTATTTATGCATTAAGAACATAAACTGATGGTCTAATGAGTTGATTAGTGTGGTATGCTGATGTTGATATAGAAAGAACGAACTAGAGGGATGTATTAAGGCTGTTAGGCCTTCTTCTTTACCTATGCTTAGTTGGTTATGTGCAAGAAACAATCAAAACTGACCCCAGACAACAAATTGGCTATACAAATATAACTTTATAAAGAAAACTAGTATCTATCACTTAGCAGGGATTCTAGAGTGAATTGTTATGATCTGCTGGTTCCGAACTTAAAGACTACAAAGGATAGAGGTCATCTTTGGTTTAGGTTGGGTTACAAAAGATCTGATATCATTTAAATATAATAGATATAAATGAAAGTGTAGGACAAGGTACTCATGTTTGTTTGAGGGTGTGGACGCTGACTATTGGGACTTATGAGTGTTCTATAGATTGAATACACAAATCCAAATTTATGACCACAAGAACTTAAATTTTAGTATCTGATATGGATGTTTAGGATATGTTGATATTCATATCCTCATGTAGTGGTGTAGGAAGACACAGTGCAGATTCATTCTCATAACTATTAAGTGTTGTACATTTCTACATGCATGTGTTTTTTATTTTGTTGCTTTTTTTATGTTTGGGGGGGGGGGGGGGTGCCACGGTGCTTGCATGTGTTTTCCATGTGTATACAGAAGTGAATGCCTTAGTGCGCAATACGGTTGGTGGCTGCACTTGGGGCACAATATGGATGGAGACCCACTGGAAGTTTTCAAAAATTAAATTGAGCCTATTAGGTAGTGTGTGACTTTTTACACTGGCTGACACTAAAGTAACAAAGGGTCCAACAACAGACACTGATATGCCATGTGTTGAATAGCCGAAATAAGATTACTAGTTGGTAGAATTTGGACGGACATTCGTTGCAATATGCATTTAATACATTGTAACTGTTTGTTCTGGAAGTCACACAAGGCCACAGGTTTATTCTTGTATGCTATGCTTCAAGATGAAGAATATAAAAAGATAAATTTATTTAGACTTATAATCCCAAATCTTACTGGCAGAAGGACTAAGTTCATTTTGAAGAGTTGGTTAAGAAAAACCTTGAAAACAATGCAAAATGTAAGCATTAAAGTTCAATAATTATTAGTTGAGGTTTTGGAGGGTGAAATTAAGGAGTGAAAAGATCAAATGACTGAAGTGTTGACCCTACACAAGATCAACCGAGATAAGAAACTTAAATGTTGGTCATTTTCTAAACTATTGAGCTACAATATTAATGATGGCTTATCTGATCATATATCTAGAGAAGTAATAATGGTAGTGTGCTGGTGCCAAGAATTGACTTGTTATTTCAAGAACATTGACAATGGATTTGTTTTACAAATTTCCTAGAGATTCAGATAAAGAGATTTTAAGAATTATATCTGTTGACTCAAAGGACACAACTTGTGTGCTTTGAGGATGGTTCAGTCTTTTAGTTTTGAAATAATGTGCTAGAAACCTGCAATTGCACATAAATGATGAACAAAATTTATGCGTGCAGAGCATAATCCATGTTTCTTTATGCTAGTCATGGATTACACTGCCTTTGGCATTGGATCCCTCATCTTATTTTTAATTTATATTGATTGTGTCATGTTGAAAGCTAGCATCTGCCAAAACACTTTATTACGAGATAAGTCAAATTTTGGCTCTCATTAAACTTATTTGTATGGAAGAATAATAGCTACATAAATGATGGCACTTATTACAAGATAAGTTGAAAGAACATGCCTAATTATTTTACAAGTATATGGATCTACATTAGATTGGAAAGTATTTGAGATGTTGGAGGCAAAAAACTATAGAACAAGAATTTGGAGAACTTTTATGTGATGTTGACACTTGACAACAACTCTTGAGTTATCATCACGGTAGGGATTTAGTTACTGCATGAGACATCAATAAGACATCTCTATGTAACGAGGAAAGAACATGGTCTGATTTAAGCGTGTTAATGCTAGTAACATAGTTAAAGATACCTTCATGATATCTAACCTAATGGAGGTTGTCTATAGTTTAGGGGTTCCAGCGATCGCAAAATAGTTTAGGGGGCTTAAGTGACTACACTCGCATAGTACTACAGGTATATCAGTAATTGAATTTGTCTAGATCTATATATTCTATATATTTGAATTGTTTATATAACATATTATCGCTTCATTCAGATAGTTTATTTTTTTGTTAAAGATCAAAAGAAGTTGAGCAAAGAAAAAAAGTGTTTTCCAAGACTCATGCTATTTTATCCTTATTTGTAGGATTAAGGCCAAGAAAATCGCAAATTCTAAAGTGAGAAAACTTAATTGCCCTTGGGGAAAAACAAACAGAAATGGACAAATTCATGGGTCTCCCATAAAAATCATAGATTTTAAAGCACTTATAATTAATAGTCATTGGATTGAAATGGACAATGATAGACATAAACTGTGTTATACCCACATGAAAAGCATGAACTTTGAATAAAGAAAACTTAATTGACATTAGTAGACAAAATCATGGATTATAACCCTTAAAAGTCTGGGCTATGCTTGTTAAATTTCTATTGAGTTGAAATACACGATAATCAATTAAAAAAGACATGGGCTATATCCCATAAAAGTCATAAATTTTGAATCACACAATTAATTGAAATTGGATCCAAACAGACGAAAATGGACGAAAATCGTGGCTAATAGCCCATGAAAATTACAATTGTTGAAGTATGCATAGTAAATTATTATTGGGTCAAAATGAAGTAAATAGAAAATTTGTGGGTTTTAGTCTCATGAAAGTTATGAAGTTTGAAGTACTGCTAATAAATTGCCATTGGATCAAAACAGATGAAAATGAATTATATTGTGATTTATTGCCCATGGAAATTGTGAATTTTAAGTACAAAAAATTAATTGCCATGAGCCCATGAAGATCACGTATTTCAAAGAAATAAATCTTAACTATCATTGGATAGAAACAAATAAAAATGGAAAGAATCATGGGTTAAAACCCATGGAAAATCATGATTTTTGAAGTGAGTGTAATTCATTTGTATTGAGTCAAAACAAACGAAGATAGATGAATAAATCACAGGCTATAGCTATGAAAATTGGGAATTTTGAACCTAACTAATTTCCATTGAGTCGAAATAGACAAAAATGAATTAAATTCGCCGGTTATAGCCAATGAAAGTCGTGAACTTTAAAGCACGAATACTTATTTATCATTGGGTTAAAACTAACGAAGAATGTCAAAACTCGTGAGTTACATTCCAATTTCCATGAGACTTGTGAATTGTGAAGCAGGAAAAATTAATTGCCAATGGGTTGAAGCGAAAATGGACATAGGCTTGAGTTATAACCCCATGAAAATCTTGAATTTTGAAGTATGCATAATTAATTATCATTGGGTTGAAATAAACATTAATGGATAAAACTTTAGGATTGTAGCCCATGAAAATTGCAAATTTTGAAGTGACAAAACTGAAGTGTTATTGAGTTAGGAATTAAATTGGACAGAAAGTCTTTGGTTATATCCCATGAAAATTGAGAATTTTTTAAAACGTGCATATTTATTTACCAGTAGATTGAAACAAACAAAAAATGTCAAAAGTCAATGGTTATAGCCAACAAAAATCACAAATTATGAAGAAAGAAAACTAAATTGATATTGGATTGAGAATTTGAGATGGACAGAAATAGACCAAAATCATGCATTATAACCCTATGAAATAATGTGTTATAAACTATGAAAACAATAAGTTTTTAAGTACTAACAACTATTGGGTTGAAATGAACGAAACTGTGCAAATATTGTGGTATAGCTGATGAAGTCGTGGGTTTTGAAATATGCGTGTACCTAATAACCATTGGGATGAAACGAAGGACAACGAACAAAGGTCGTGGATTATAGTTAATAACAATCACAAATTTTGAAGTAAGCATAGTTTATTATAAATGGGTTGAAACGAACGAAAATGCATAGCCTATGAAAACTGTGAATTTTAAAGCATGAATAGTTATCTGCTATTGGATTAAAACGAACGAAAAATGATGAAGATCGTGGATTACAATACATGAAAATCGCAAATTTTGAAGAGAGAAGTTAAATCTCATTTGGTTGAAACAAACGAAAATAGAAAAAATTGTGGGCTATAAATTAATTTGAAAATTGCAAAATTTGAACCCTGTTTTGTAACTTAACGGTGCCCTCTTTTTATGTAACACACTCATTTAACGCTGAAACTATTTAACCTAGAAAAAAGCACGTTATATTGCATTAAATGTGCGTTACGTTATATAATCAGTTAACATGAGTTATTTTAGGTTAAATTGCATCTCTAATTAGGACGTGTTGATGTATCTCCACCATCCAAATTATTTAAACCTTACCCATTTTAGTCGTGATCATCTTATTTTCTTCCTGCGAATATGCGATTTCTTCACCTCCTCCAACCCAAACCTCAACTTCTTGCCTCCTTTGAAACCCCACTAGCTATCCGCGTCTTCTGTGACTTCGGTGAGGTAAAATTTTTTATTTATGAATTATGTATTGGGCATCTTAGATTACATCCTTTAAATAAATAGTGATTTTAAAATTATCTTTCAAATTGCAGTATTTTCTATTGCCAATTTACCTTAAATCATATCAAACTTGTGGCTCCGTTTTTTTATAGTTCAACGTAACTTTTTAAGATCTATCACAGAATTAGAGTACAATGATTAATTAGTGGGTTAATTGTGTTGGTGAGATAATTACTTTCAGTTTCTTGATTTTGATTAGGTTTTAATTTTTAGTTTTCAGCTAATAATAAATTTTGTGAAATAAAGTTTGCACATAATCTCTGTATATAATTTCTTACTATTGTTACATAGTCATGTTTACTTTGGTGGATTTAGTGAACTTGAGTAGGAATTAGAACATTTTTGTAAAGTTAAGAACTTGAGAGTTGGAAGTGTTTGGTTTATTTTAGACTTAATTTCATTGCCTTAAACTTGATGACGTTAATGTATTTGATCATTTGATGATGCTTTTTAGGATGGTTGTTAGTCATATATGGCGAACTTTTGTTAAGAATATGTGATACTATATTTTTATATTTGATCATTGTGATGTTATGTTTGAAAAGTTTGATGATTTTAACTATTAAAAAATTGTTAGTATTTATAAAATATCTAAATAATTAATAAATAATATAACCTAAGTTATGTGTTACGTTTTTTTTGCCTTTTTGTCCTTAACCCTTCACAGGAAGTCAAACACTACATAACTCATTTTCATTATTTTCAACATTGTTTTGAACTACGTATAGTTATGGTAATGGGTCGAAATGGACGATAATGGACAAATTTTGGATTATAGGCGATCAAAATTGTGAATTTTAAAGAAGAATTTAACTACCATTAGGCCGTACAAATGAAATTGGGAATTTTGAGTTCGTCTAATTAATTACCGTCGGTTAGAACAAACTAAAATAGGAAAATTTTATGAGTTATATAGTCCACAAAAATCGAAAATTTTGAAACAATAATACTTTTTTCTTATTGGGTTAAAACACACAAAAAATGTAAAAATTGTGAGCTATAGGCCATGAAAATCACGAATTTTGAAGAAAGAAGTCTTGACTAGCATTACTTCAAAACGAAAAAAATCATGGTATATAACCTAATGAAAAATGTGAATTTTGAAGTACTAAACTAATTGTCGTTAGGTTGAAATGAACGATAACGGATAAAAATGATGGATTATGACCCATGAAAATTGTAAATTTTAAAGTACTCATAATTAATTGTGATTAAATCTTAATGAACAATAATGTAAAATAATTGTGGGCTCTAGCCCATGAACACGAATTTTGAAGTATGTATAAATAATTGTAATTGGGTCGAAACAAACAAAAATGGGTGAAAAACAGTGATTATAATCCATGAAAATTGTAAATCTTGAAGTACACTTAAGTAATTACCATTAGGTCAAAATGAAGGATAATGGACAAAAGTTGCAGGTATGAACCTATGATTAAACTTTTAAGTCTTAATACTACATGAATGTATTAAGGTTTTTAAGTCTTCTTTAGCTGTGTTTAGTTAGTTCAGTACAAGAAGCAATTGTAACCGGTGCTAGATAATTAATTGGCAACATGTATAACCTTATAAAGCAAGCTAGCGTCAACTTCTGAGCAGGGTTTTTAGAGAGATTTGGTTATGATGTGATGGGTCTGAACTCTTAAGTTATAAAGGATAGAGAGATCGTTGGTTTAGGTTGGTTTACAGAAGATAAATCATTTAAATAGAGTAGATATAAAGGAAACTGGAGGAGAACACGCACATGATTGTGCAAAGGTGTGGACATTGACTAAAGATAATGGGCTGGAACTTGCGAGTATACTATAGATTGATGCGAGTATACTATAGATTGAATATGCAAATCCAAATGACTTTTTGGGTTGAATGTTAATCCAAATTTATAACCACAAGATTAATTTTACTATGTGATATGGATGGTTAGGATATTTCGATATTCATATCCTCATTTAGGGGGATGCAATGAAGATTCATTCCAATAACTCTAATGTCACTGTTAGAGTGTTAGTTGTGGGTAGTGTGTTTATTTGACCAGGGTATGACCCTTTTACACTCTCTGTTCCTATTAAACTTACAAAATGGCCAAAAATCACTGGTGTGGCCGTTGTTGAATGGCCGAAATAAGATTTTAAGTGGTAGAATTTGGTCTGACATTCGTTGTAATATGCATATAATATTGAGCTAGGAAGTGAAAGCAGGCCACAAGTTATTTTTGTATGATACGGGTCAAGATGGAGAATAAAAAAAGGTAAATGTTTTGACATATAAACCTAAAACTATCTGGTAGATGAACTAGTTTCATTTTAAAAAAGCTGGTTAAGAGAAACCTTGAAAGTGATGCAAAATGTAAGCACTATTGTTGATAAATACTACTTGAGGTTTTGGAGGGTGAAATTAAGGCGTTGAAAAGGTCAAAATGACTAAAATAATGACCCTCCATAAGATTAACTGAGATAATAAATGGGTAAAAATGCTGATCATTTTTTAAACTATGGTTATTTGGCTATACACCCTCCAAAGCTTTCATAATTGCATGTATAGCCTCCAAATCTTCATAATGGCAAATTTACCCCTCTAATCTTCAAAGTTGAGTTTGTATACCCTCGTACAATTAAGGAATATTCACAGGATATTCCAAATTATTTTGTTAAGTTATCTTAAAATAATTAAAAATGGCTAGAATACCACCCAAAGCATTTAATTGAGGTTAATGTGTTAATTAAACCAAATTTCCTTTAACCAAGCAAATCCCTTTGATCTCTAGAGTACAAACGATCAAATTCCTCCTCTCGAGTTAAAGGAGGTGACGTTGGTAGAACAATGTATGAATAGTTCCTCTTCTCTTCAACTTTCTCCATACCTTGTCCGTTCCTCTATCAGTTCAAACTCCAAACCTCCAAACTCCAGCAAATCCATCTGCAGTCCTATCCTTAAACAGTCTCAACACCTTACCCACCAACAACAATGGATGCCAATGTGAGTTGGTTTATTTTTTGACAAGAATTGACGTGGTTGTATTGTGCAGGATTGGAGTAATTGTTGTGTGATTTTTGAGGAGGAGTTTATGGTTCACAATAGTTATCTCTCTTTCACATACTAGAACAAGGACCAATGGATTACGGAAACAATCACGACCTTCGCATCTTTATCTGAAGGCGAGAATGAAATTGAGGTCGAAGAGGAGAAGACGCAGAGGAGGTGCATGGAGGCGATAGTGGCCGCAGATGATAGTGATTATGATGAGAAGGATATTTGGCGGAGTGACTTTGAGGCGGCCGCTGTTGATCAACGATGAGAGAGGATTATTGTAGTCAATTAAGCCTTCAACCGTTAATTTATAAGCACTGTGAGGTCAGAGGGGTACTCTAATTGGAAATTTAAGATTTGAGGGGCAAATTAGTAAATTATGAAGATTTGAGCGGTAAATATGCAATTATGGAAGATTTGGAGGATATCTAAGCAAATAACGCTTTAACTATTAAGCTACAATATTAATGGAGCTTTAACTGATCATATATCTAGATAAGTTATGGCAGCATGCTTAGTACCAAGAATTAAGACATTGAAAATGGGTTCGTTTAACAAATTGCTCAGAATTAAGATAAAAGAGATGAACTTAGAATTGTCTGCATTGACTCAGAGAATGAGGCTGTTTGTGTGCTTTGAGGATGGTTCCTACAAACTAAAAGTTTTGAAATAGTATTGAGCTACAAACCTGTAATTGCACATACAACAAGAACAAAAATTATGTGCACAAAGCATAATTCATGTTTCTTTATACTACTCATGGATTAAATTATTACCTTAGAGACCATATCCCCCCGCTTACTTCATTGATTGTGTCATGTGGAATGCTTGCATCTGCAGAAATTTAATAGGTCAAAAATTGATCTCATTGAAATTATTTGTATATCACAAGAAAAAATTGATAAATGAAGGCACATACTTTGAGATAATTGGAAAGAAGAAGAATATTTCAGCATCGTGTGTTGATGCATAATTGATTGCTCAACTGTTTGAGCGATAGAAGGTTCATGTGCCTTGTTATAGAAGTGTGGAACTACTTTAGGTTCATAAGAATTTGAGATGTGGGAGGCAAAAAAATTGAAGAACAAGAATTCTGGTAAACTTTTGTTGACGCTGATCACAAGTCCTTTAAAGTTATTATCTCAGTAAAAGGAAGGATTTACTGTCATGAGACTCCAACGTGATACATTAATGTAACGGAAAAATAATGTTGTCATTACTTCAGGGGTAGCAGTAATAGTAAAATAGTTTAGGGGTTTAAGTGGCTATACCCTCGTAGTGCACAGACGGTATCTGCGATTGAGTCTATCTAGATCTATATATTTACTTGTTTGTGTGGCATTCTATTCTTCTTCCATCCAAATAGCCATTTTTCCCCTTCCTGTTTTAAGGCTTAAGATCTCAAGAAACTGATAAAAGGTAAAAGGAAATGTTTTCCCAAAACTCAGGCTATTTTATCCTCGTTTGTAATATTTGATATCAAAGCTAAAAAAAATTCTTTCTTCAGAAGAAAAAGGGAAATTTGACGAGTTGGTCGAGGACAAGGGTGTGAAGGTACTGATAGATCCAAAAGCACTTATGCATGTTATTGGAACTAAGATGGATTTTGTGGATGATCCACTGAAGTAAGCATTTCCTTTTTATTTTTTTTCTTACATCTAAATATGTTTAGTGCTGGCATCTTCTGATCAAATGATGCAACAGGTCGGAGTTTGTATTCATTAATCCTAACTCGAAAGGGCAGTGCGGTTGTGGTGAATCTTTCATGACGACAAGCAACAATCAATCCAGTAAACCTGGGGGTTAATAGCCTCCAAGGATTTATGTCAACACAATCTGTTAATCTTTTATGATGGAATGTATTGCTGTAAAGAAATTAGTCAATAAAGAGATGTTGGATAATCCTGTAATTAAACTGTTCTTATTCAGTTACTTGACCCAGCAATTTTTACTGCTGGAGATTTTGTTGTCAATTTCCTAATTTCCAATTTTCGTACCAGGTTAGTCATTTTACACTTTGCTTCATTTCCATGCGCCTACCAGTTCTTTTCCTTCGCACAATCAGGTTCTTGCTTTTCCGCATGTTCTGTGGATATATATGTGCCTTTCTCTCAATTTCTGAAATCAGAATCTTAGAAGCTGTGTGTGCTCAGCTCTGGCATCACGTGCTTCATTTCACGTGTACGTTTGGTAACATCTTATGGAGAGAGAACCGGTTCACATTTGTACATTACAATACGGATCAAAGTGCGAATAACGTATAATGACTCTGTTCATAGATGTGGGGATTTCCAGTTGATTAAAGTCGCATACAGGGAACTTTGCTGCTAACAAATTTAGACCAACTTCATAGAATTAACAACGATGACATGACACGATGCTGATAGGTAGGTCGCCTTTCCTTCACCTGCACTTGCGCTTGCAAAACCTTTCACATGTATGGTATATGACCTCATTCATATGGTGCTCTGCGCGAGCGTGTATATATATTTGATATAACAACATTTAGCCCATACATCAGAAATTTGCTATGATCTGTGAATAAAATGGAGGAGAATTCGAATGGTTCAGGAGCCATTTCCGATCAAAATACTATGCAAACGTAGCTAGATAGGAAACATAAAAAATCACAGTTGTACCAGAATAGTAACATATCTCCAGTATAAACTATCATTACTCACCACATATCATTCAAAACTAATATGCACCCTGAATAAGAAAGGGAAAAAAACTGATGAACAAAAGCGAACCACTATCGTAATATGCACATTTAAAATTAGTCTGATGCCCAACCAGGGACTAATGTAGCAGAAGAAAATGCAATAGTACGGCATTAATTTTATTTTTCAACAAAGCCAAATAGGCATCAAAGCCAGGTTTAGATTAGCAACTTAGCAAGTTTTTTTACTCAGCAGATTCACATCACATAAATCTCTTCCTTTTTACATCATAAAGATGAATTGTATAAGGAAAATCGCCGCAGGCATCAGGTTACTCTTACTTCAAAAGCATACCATCTTCTTGTTCTTCTTCTGCGATAGTCATATAAGAAATTTATGAGTAATCTCTATCAGTATAGTTAGAGAACAATTACTAACAGAGTAATCCGCAAAATTTACACTAACCTGGAACTTAGCATTCTGTTGACGGTCAATATATGCAAGTAGCTCCTCTTGCCTCATTAATGCTTCATGTAAAGTCTGCTCAGGCAAAAGTATTTACAGAGTGAGCATAAACATGCATGAATCATGATCATTAGGAATATAAACATATGCATCCAAAATCACAAAGTCACAATTATCAGGCGAAAATGGTTATCGCTCTTACTAAAACGGTATAAAAACAATATATTCATTGATAATTTATTTTCGATTTGTTCAATTGAATGCAATTTCCTCTAGGAAGCTGATTATATCGTAGCTTACTAACTTAGCTGTTAGATTTTGCTCATCGACTTAGTTTTATGCTAGTGATTAGGGAGATTTACCTATAAGCCAGCTGGCCCCATTGGTTTATGGCAGGATCCCTCACTTCTCATAGAGTTTGGTCCACATTCTAGCAGAACCATCCCAAAGGTGCTATTTTGGTAGTAATAAGGCTAAATTGTTAAGACAAATTAACTCCATACTGAACTAGAAAAAGTGTAAAAACTTGTGAACTGACACAGGATATCCATGTAGGTTTGTGTGTGGATGTATAAGATTGTGATATGATAGGATGCGTTTTTTCTCTTCTTGGTTTCTTAAAGGAAAAATAAATTAGGATTTTCTTAAGATATTAATGTGATTGATTATGGGAAATCCTAACATTTTCAAAAAGTTCACACAAACGTTCCCCCTACTTCCTCAAACTTAATCGCTAGTCAACCACCTCTTATGATGCTAGGAATTGTTGTCACTGCTAGCTTTTCATTAATTTCCTCGGACTTTTGTAAGTGTACTGAAATACATAAGCCGAGACATTTATTTTGAACACTTTATCCTAACATCAATTGAAACCCTTCCAAACTTTTTGATCATTTTCTGTCACACAAACGTTCCCCCTACTTCCTCAAACTTAATCGCTAGTCAACCACCTCTTATGATGTTAGGAATTGTTGTCACTGCTAGCTTTTCATTAATTTCCTCGGACTTTTGTAAGTGTACTGAAATACATAAGCCGAGACATTTATTTTGAACACTTTATCCTAACATCAATTGAAACCCTTCCAAACTTTTTGATCATTTTCTGTCTCATAGCTGCCAAAATTTACAGCTGAAAGTATTATACATTTCATTAGAGAAAATGGAGATGTAAAAGGGCATGTTGTTCTGTAAGGCTCAATACCCAAGAAAATATACAACCAAAATTATGGGGTTGGCTACATAAATCTTATCTTCCATTCAGTATCATTTAAGGCCATCTCTATTGTTAAGTTAATCACTATCATATCCTTCTTTCTTGTTGTCTACCAAGTTCTCTTTGGTCTCCCTCTAGTCCTCCTCCCTGCTTTACTAATTATAATTGTATCACATCTACTAATATGCTAAGTGTAAATACAAGAAGTTTTCCCAATCCATATGTTCAGTAAGGCAATCAATGGAGGGGAATTCAATGTCCAAAAGAAATTAGATAATTGTGATAAAATAACTAAGAAAAAACTGCCAAAGATCATAAATGTACTCTGTATGATAACCTAGACAGATATAAAACTACACAAGCACAAATTTTACCTTTTTGGTCGTGATAAGCTCAGCTTCTAATGCATCAACACGACGAACAGCAGCATTAAGCAATTCTTCCTTCTCAGTCGGCATCTCACATGGCTTTGCTTGAAGCTCGTCAACCTTTTCTTCCAGCTCCCCCAGCCTTTTCAGTACAGATGAAAGCAGGTCGGCTTCGGTGAATCCAGGAGCTGGTGATGGGGGACGGGAGATCTCCTTTGGAGCTAAGTCTAAAGAAAAGGGTGGATTCTGGTGACCTGCCTGAGTTTTGCCTGGGAGCATCTTTGTCACACAACGAGAAACTGATTGAAGCAGAGTGAATAGAGTCATAATGAAGGCCATAATCAAACCGAGTGCTTGAGAACAGACTACTGCAGGAGGCTTGTTGGTGTCTGTCGTAGGAAATGCCCCTGGTCCGAGGGAAATAGCATTTAGCATGGCTATTCAATATCGCAGAAAGAGAGATAAGTCTTAGAAAGAGTGCTTCATGAAACGTGGAACAACGATTTTCAAATAAGATAAATCAAGATAAAGCAACTAGTTGTCATATGTAGTCTACCACAGCTAAAGTCGCACTCATTTTAATGTGAAAAAGACTTGGAAGATGATAATTATCAATTGATCATTACAGTGAACAATAAAAGTAGTCAGCCTTGAACAAACTGATCCAACTTTCACTAAAATACTACTTAGATAAACGAAATGGTACACGCCAATTGAGAGATACTTGAAATGACACGGCTATGTTACTTGGTATTTCTATTATGAAGCCATACCCATATACAGGACACACCTTGAGTATATGCATACATTTATTCATGCATGCACTATATTATACAATACATCTTTTAGTTTAAAACACTCGTCATAATTTTCTTGGACTCCTATGCTTCATCTTCACTTCGTGAAACTTGTGGGCATGAGTTGGGTTTGTTTGAAACAGTGTTATCAAAGGCGTGCACGCGCCTCATGCGCTCTGCGATGTGGGGCGATGGTGAAACACCCCGCATCAGATGCAGGGCGCTTAGCAAATGCGAGCCAACGTCTTCTTGCGCCTCGCAAATGCCTGCGCTTCTGCAGGGTGCATGCAAAACATGGACTCATATATTTTTGTTCTTACATTTCAATCGGGTCTTTATACCCGATAACCTAAATCCCAAAATAAAAATACTCATTAGGCTTTTTTAATAGCCCGATTGAGGATCCTAAGTGGTTCCTCTTTACTATTTCATTTTGCTTCGATATTTGCCTTAATTTGGCCACTGATTTGGAAAATTATGAATTTGCTACTATGTTGAGTGTGTTAGTATTATGAATTAAGACATTAATTTGTGATGTAGTAGATATTATTTATCTTGACATATTTTATGTGAAATTCATAAATATGCTCTTTCATGTTTGATTATCTATGTTGAAAAATTATGTGTGCGGTGTGCGCCTCGCTTCACTCAGGCGCGCGCATCACGTTGCATTTTGCACAAGTGGGCATAAAGGGGCTTTGTATTCTGCATTGTTTGACGACACAATCTACTTTGAAAACAAGCCATGTCCCTACCCTACCTTTTACAAATTTTACGTGTCCCATACTAGTACTGCACCTACGCCCACACCCATTTTAATGCAACGTAGTAACACAGATAATACGTATCAAGAGACCAGAATTAAACAGATCAATATTCCAGTTCAAAAAGGCTGCCTTGAACCAAAAAATAACCTCTAAAACAACATGGAGAGCACAAATTATGGGATAAGCTCAGAAAAGTTTGATGCCTTTCAAGCATGTTAGTAGAAAACTCAAGTTAACAGGACAAAAGCTAGTTATCAATGGATGATTTGCTCAATCGGAAAGAACAACATTAGGAATAAATCAAAAGCAGCAGTATAGCTAAAAGGAAAATACTAAGATTATAATAGGAGCTCAAAGAATTTTCTGAATAATAAATTAAGCAATTGAGAACTTTCACACATGTTAGGACAATTAATGAAAACAAACTCATGTCACAAAAAACATGTAAGTACGCAAACCTTTGAATGAAGGAAACCTTTGATTAGAAACTTCTTTCTTCCGACCTACTACATCTACAGCTTTGTCAACCATGGGAATATGTTCAGTAGATTCTGAAAAGCTAGCGTTAGCCTTCCCAACAACCTTCATCTGAACAAAAAGGATAAGCCATAAACTAATTAGTTTTCACATTTCTATATCTTCATTGTCTGTTAGCTATTGTGAACATCACTACGAACATATGTACTCTTTAACTATCTCATTTGTAAGAAAACCTTTTGGAAGTAGCTACATAAAAAACCCTATTATGAGGATATTAAGAAGGGCTCGCGTGTTTCTGCTATTTTACTTTTAAATAGTCAATAAAGGCAACAAAAAAAGAACATTTTTCGGCAAATTGTGGAAATTTCAAATTTTAAGGAACAAATAATTTAACAATGGTATGCTAGATCAAATTTCCAACGAAAAGAGACTGGCATGGGAAAACATCAGGATGGAAATATAATGGAAGGAACCATATTATTAGCATGCAGTGTCTCAATGGCGAAATGAATGAGCTCCATGACTATATGTTAAAGACCATATGCATGATTTTCTATCGAGTCTTTCTGATAGAGCAGACAGTTTAGTGTTAGTTAAGAACTTGATTACACCCATTAATTCTCTTGCAAGAAATTCAGCATACCTCTTCACGAACAGGGGTTAATCGAGAACATGAAATGTAACTCCTTGACAATTTTGGGGAAATAGTATCTTCAGCTTCGGAACCAGATTCATTTGTGGATGTATCACTACCCTTTATCTGGACCAACATGGGAATTAATTGAATGCCTATAAAAAGTGCAAATTTTAAATAACATAACAGGAGGAAAAAGAAAAGGTCTTACTGCTGGGTGCTGTGGTTTAGCATACGCAATTATCTTCCCCTCTCCATTAGAAACGGTAACTATTTGCCTGCCATATTGTGCTTCACCACTAAGGACCATCTGAAGACCAATGAGAAGTATCAGTAAGTCTGGATCAAAAGAGTTGAAAAAGTGATAAATAGATGCAATACGATAATCATAAACTGAGAAGTAAAATAAGATGATAACCAGACACCTTCAATATGTTAGGATTCTTCCATGGTCCCTTTTCAGACTTAAGGCATCCACCCTGGTCAGCACAGGTACAAGTACCACCAAGAAATTCAGGCAATTCACTGAAAAACCCCCACAAAAAAGGAGAGTTAGGACGAAGCTTTATCGACAATCACTAAGTATCGTGCAGAAATTAAAAAAAAAACTTGACCTAGAATCAATTATTTCAAACAGCTTGCTCTGATACTTGTTCCCGAGAACCTGCAAGAATTTAAACCATCAATTTCAATATCATAGAGATATAAACTCGGCAAAAAAGAAAGGTTCAATTAGTAGAAATCATAATTACATGTATCTTTGAAGTAGTTTTGGGGTCGAGAAATGATTTGACGGAATTCCATAGCAATCTAAAACCAGGACCAGCATTGATGATAAACATTCGGTGTAAAGTCTGCAGAGATATCGCTTAAATGATTATTGGACACTCATTAGCCTCATCACATAAAATACAAGAAACTATGAGTACTATGGGATACCTCTGGGTAATTGTCCCCATCTATTTTCTGTAACCTCATAATTAGTTCTCGTGCTGTCTTGCTGAAGTTTTTCATTCCCTGTTAAAACAACCAAATATCATTAAGAAAAGACAATATTGGTTACATACTATCATCTACGAGATGCAGCAACTTTTCATATAAATTTCATGCCTGACTATAAGATTGAAGAGAAAATAACAACATACCACGCCTTGAACATCCAGAATAGTAGTGCTTGAATCAATGTGCTTCTTTGCAGCGATTGAGCAAGCTGGGAACTTAATCGAAAAGCTCCGTTCAAACTCTTTCACGTGATATCTTACATAACGGTCCATAGTTGTCACTAGCATAAGTTTGCCGGGGTCAACTTTTCCTAGCCTTTCGATGTAAACAGGTCTTCCCTCTTTGTCCACACCATGATAACCATGAGGGTAGTACTTCAGAACTTCATCTAGTTCTGTATACTCAAAATCCTGATAAAAAGTAGTGTTGCATTAAACATTATTCAATTCTGGAGAAGATGCAAGTACAAAATTAACAATGAAGTTCCCAAGGTACAGGCTACAATGGAGTCTATGAGTGGAAACTCAGGAAAGTTTTATTGGTTAAACAAAGGTGTCTTCTATAGAAGCCAGTTCTAGAAACAGCTATGAAAGGTGTTCAGATGCAACGGTCCAAAAAGTTTTCACAAAGGGAGAACACTTGAAAGATGACTGCATAAAATGTATATTATGGTATACTATCGTATCACTGAGGAATATATTTAACAAGTTTGAGATAATAAATGCAATACAACTTTAAAGAACTTATTTAATGAACAGCGGGTTTTTTAATACTGAAAACTGATAAGACTATGATAGAAGATGAACCCACAATTATACAACAAAGACATTGCAACCGAGTAAATGAATTCTTGCTACCTAAGTTCCTTTTAGTGAACATGTGTGACAGAAGATTATCTATGTTCTCGCTCCTGTCTATATATAGAAAACCATATGGTGGGTATTTCGCATGTTCTTATCATTGGCTACATGTAAGTTCAATATCAGTTTATCACACCAATTGGGACCATAAGAAAGTGAGGGCTCCCTGCAGTGAAAGTTCGGAAAATAGAGTCATATTCTCAAGTGAGAAAGATCTTGTTAAGTACATTCAGATATGCTTGGAAATACACATGATAAAGGTTAGCCCTCACTTCTATTGAGATGAATGTTTTATTAAAACTAACATGTTAGATAACTATCAGATTCAAATTAGATTTGGCTACTCATTATAAGTAGGGGAAACATCGACAACATTCATCCATTATCTCCAAATCCAATGGGATGTTGGTAATTATCAATAAATACTAATAATGAATGTCTCCCTACTTTAAGAAACTTAAAATTATAGTTACCTCTATGATAGTATCAGCACCATACTCCTTCCTCCATTGAAGCATTTCCGCCCACATGTGTTTTGCTTTCTCAATATCGAATTTCCTCGCTTTCAAAAATCTAAAATTGATGCAAGACCAATAGATCAGATAAAGAAAGTTGCTTTTGCAGATTTTATGGTGGTCATATAGCATCAGTGACCACAATTTATGAATCTAAAAATCATGGAAAAACCCTTGACCCACCTTAACATCATATGATAATCATCATGTCTTGTAGGTAGCAACTCATCTAAAATCAATGCCTGGCGAAATGCATCAACGGCTTGTAGATCTTCAATATCCCTTATGTCCTCAATAGAAATAGAAGTTACTCGATTGCCACTCTTCCTTCTATTCTTTTTCTTCAAAGAATGCCTGAATTTACTCGACGCATCTATCGCCTTTTTCTTCAAGGATCCAATCCGTGTCCTCCTTTCATCTTCTGAACACTCAAAATCTGATTTACGTTCTCTACGTTCATCATGACCAGAGAAGCCCTCAAAGCCTGCGATATGTAAAATGAGTCACCAGTAGATTCACTAACCAAAAGTTTGTATTGTTGAGTGAAATTGTAAAATGTGGAATATGTTTCACTTTAACATCAAACAATATTTGACTCTGATGAATCATACAGATTGCAATTGATGATACTTGATAACTTTAAGGATTTTAAATAAGTGCTTGAACTTTTGAGTTTTAAGTAGGCATAAGTCATAACAGAAAAATGCTCCATCAATGCTTCTGAGAAACTCTACTTTTTTGAAACTAAAATAACCACAGCAATCAAATAAAAATGGCATGAAATTTGACAAAATTGCTAACAACCATTGTTAATTTAGATATAAGTTTTGGTAATAAACAAACTTTTATTGCAGTGTAAGCTATAGCCTGCCCCGGAGACCCCAACAAAACTTGGACCACGAATCTCTTGAATAGATTTCAAAATCATATTTTTAGCTGATGTTTCTACTACAACAATAGAGTAGAAATCTTTACCCCAAATATTTGGGGTTCGCAACATGATTTTTCTTGTTCTATTTAGCTCTATTAAGGGTCTTCTGTGTTAGATTGAGACCTACGAACATAGTTATCAATTTCTTCCATCCTCATTGTTCAACTAAACTTTCAAAACCCTAGTTTTTCTTCAATTCAAGAAATTGCAAAAATTTGTCAAGCTGAAGCTCAGACCGGCTCAAGAACCCTAGTTTCCATACTAATCAAAACAAGAAAACCAACAAAACCCACAAAAATAATTTCCAAAAGAAAAGTACTAAAAAAATTCAGAAGCTTACAGGGCCTGGCGAATCGATCAAGCGGCCCCGACATAGCAATTCCACGCCGATCCAATCAATCTACCACAAAGAGAAGGCCACGATCCCTAAAAAACCAAGCTGCATTGAATTCAGAAACCCTAGAAAAAGCCCTAGAAACTCCAAATCAGACGCAAAAAATGAATCTTTTTCGTACCTCGAAAAGGTCACCGGCGCGATAAGAGAGAGTAGAGATCGAAAAGAGAGAGCACCGAGGAATTGAAGGAGTAGGAGTATGGAATCTGCCGATTCGACGGCGAAAATATCGGCGGCGATTTGTGATTTGCAGCTCTCTTTCTTGCTTTTGCCGTTGAAAGCCGAGAGAAGGGAGGAATAGGAAATTGTATAAGCGAGAGCGTGGGTGGATTTTGGCGTGCGGGTAGGCGGGTGTGCCGCTGTGGGGTCCATCTGTCAGGAGAATGCCAGGTGGCACCACAAATCCTGGGAGGGCCGGCCCAGCTGCGATCGGATTTTTGTAACTGTCGCGATTTTCGGTGCGCCATCATTGTGCTGGCCCACGGTATATTGGGCTTCTGATAATTGAGAGTTCGTTAATTAATTAATTATTTTTTTTATTGTCTTCCTAAGATTAGCATTCAAGCTCGGACTAGGAAAAGTACGCGTTTTGACTCTTTCGAGTCCATTCTTTGCCCCCATGATATTGATTTATGTTTTAATTCGTTGACTTTCTACATATAAGTTTATTAATACATTTAAAATAATGTTGTCCTATGTCTACAGCGTAGTCAAAGTTTGATACTAGAGCCCCTTACCCTGTGATTGAGTGAAATCATTCTCCCGGACAGATTGTATTGTGTGGTTGACAAAAATAGAAGCTTTAATCCGCAATTTATGTCAATAATGGATTTGTCTCATTGTGCTTGATCGTCATCATCTAAAAATAAAAATAAAAAATAAAAAATAAAAAAACAATCTTCACTTACCTATGAAATCCTCAGACAAGATGGTGCATTAAATGTGGATTGGAAAATATCTATACCTGAAAAATGTGACAATAGAAATTAATTTTTTGTTCTCATGCTAACATGATTTTTCCTTTCACAAGCAAATATTTAATATCTTCTCCTTTTTATAATGAAAAAGAAGTTTGTATACATGTATGGCCTTACTTATAATTTTTTAGGGTTAATTGTGAACAAACCCTATAGTATCTCCCAATTGCAAAAAAAAAAAAAAAAAAAAAAAAAAAAAAAAA